TGTACCTTTACGCAGGTCTGCGATAACGCGTTGATAAAAATCGACAAAAATAGCTTCGTGGATTTTTTAAAGTGAACAATGCGAAAACGTAATTCATCAATAGCCAACTTAGCACTGAACATAGCCATAACATTTTCGTTCAATAGACAATTTGCTTATCGGGTACGTTGTAAAAAGCATTATTATTATTTTTATTGGAGTCATCAGGTATAAATGAATGGGTAGAGGCAGACTTCTGCCTATTTTAAGCTTGGTGCTTGAGAGTGAGTGATAAGTGGTTCGTCGTGAGAGGTATACAGATAAATCATGCGGTACTTGCAAGATGTCACCGATACTATTGGGTAGGTGATTTAAACTTAAACATTTTGTAAATGTTCTTTTAACAAAACAATAACCGCGATACTTTTGATGAAGTTTTGTAGTTGATATTTCCAATGCTTCATAATACTTCACTAGTCGCTTTCTAAAACATGCTCGATGTTGCCATCCATATTTCTCCTATTAATTTTGATTAGTCATGCTGAAATCATTAAAAAACTTACGTAAATTCGGATACGGAGTCGCTTAAATGGGATCAAAGTGGCGTATTCAAGTAACCAACTAAATGCCGCTTAAATAATTCAAAGAACTGCTAGAGACGGAAAAACCCAAATTTTTCTGAAATTGTTTTAATTTTTCCCTGACTTTATTTGTAGTTGTATACTAAGTGACATAAATCCGAACACCCAGTTTAAATGGTTTTTTTTTTAAACATACGAAGTCGCGGGTGATGAAATAAAAATTGAATGACGTGACATCGAGGTATGTTCTTTTGGACCAAAGTGACTAAGAGGTAACTGAAGACCTCCATAACCAATAAGTCGCATGAGGTTGAATGTGAAAACAAACGTACTGATTTTAATGCAATGGTCAAATTACGCAAAGCATTACTCGGACTTCTATGTAAAGTAGACACACTACGGTTTAGTTTCAAGGTGAATGTTGAAAAAAAAATGTTTTAACTCTCGTCATATACAACAACAAATTTAATTCATCACTTCGGCACACGTCGCTTTTGCAATCACTAGGTGAAGGAATATTAATAACATCCACTCATAGGCGTCCGGTGACCGATTCACAAAAAAATGAGCTACTCTTTATCACCCAACTAGCAAAGTAGTGGTATAAGCTTTTGGTAAAAGAACTGTTAAGCCATAAAGCTCTCTATTGTTGTTGCCTGAACACCAAAATGCTCGTTTAATGTTTTGTGGAAATGCAAATTTGCTTTCTGCAACATATTAGCTCTAAAATGAGCTGTTTAAAATATTCTTATAGCATAGTTATACAACACCTTATACGGCAAATTTTTAACTGTTGCATAAACGTTTATACAACTATTTTATACGGCATATTTGCAAGTTAGTCAAAATGTTTGTGTTGTGGCATCCATGGTAACGTTTATAAAACAAACCCGAGCCTTGTTGTTTTGCTGTGCAATTTACTACGTTAGCCAACAAATTGCTCCCAACGGAAGCACTTATACAACTGTTGTTTAGTAACTGTTAAAGACTGTACATATTATGCTAAATATGTTGGTAAACAACTTCACCATAACCTAACTTTCTGCCGTCATATTTTTGTTAAAATGCCATAACCAATGTTTTAAGACAAACAACGCATGCATATTGGTTCAAAAGGTTTTATCAACTGTTCAAACAGAAGATATAGATCTGGTACAAATTCTGGGTAAATCATTCGACTCTGTCGGTATTTCATTTCAGACATTTGTCAAATTGTTGTATAACACCTGCTGGCAACACCAAAATATTCTAATAACCTAAAGACAACATGGACGATGCCATGATTGTACACAACCACCCGCCATATTGGGCAAACATTTATTCCTCTATTTAATATTAAATAATTATGTTTCAGTTCGAAATTACAGATATAACGTGATAAACATTAGTGTAATTGTGTCTAAATATAGGATTTGTGGAAGATTTAACGCAGATAAGTTCAGTTTTCCATCTTAAAAATCTAGACACGCTTTTGATCATTGTCAAAATATGAATCAAATACGAAGCCCGTAGAAATTGGGCAACTAATTTGCACGATAGTCACAATAAAATTTGCTGCGCAAGTAATTCAATAGCCCTATATCACAGTGTAGAAGTTTATCATATACCTGTGTATGAAATTCACAATGGCCGATATGTAAGTAAACAAGATGACTGTAATGTGTTAGTTATATATTCTTCACTTCGTCTATACAATACATAAGAAATAGTTTGGTTGCAATTAAGTAGAATCACGTAACAGAATAGTTGTATAGTTGACAAAAACTGAATCTTTCACTGACGCAAATGTCCTATAGCGGCTGCAAGAGGCTTACACTTTTGTTTTATAACTGTTACCTGCAGCCCTTATACAACCTCTTAAATGACTGAAGTGTCCTATTAGGTGTGCCCATTCCATACAATTAATTATACAGGGTGTCCTAAAATATGGAAGTCTTCTTTTCAGAAACAACTACGTTTGAAATAACTGTCACTCGTACGTTAAAATATTTTCTAACATAGAAAAAAAGCACCCAGTGATAATAAATGTACTACAAAAATTCTGTTCCCCGAAATAATGGTAAAGTCTGGTTTTCTTCAAATCCGTAGAATTCATACTTCTAAATAACAACAAAACTGGAGTTTATTGGTCAAGTAGTTTTTTGAGATTTCCTAATTGCTTATCCCGAAACACCTGCTTTCCGGCCATCTCTACTAGTTTATTGAACAATATACAGGGTTAGTTTAAAGGGCGTTTTATTGCAAAATACAGTAGTTTACCTTGCCGATATGCATCGCAACCCATTCCGGATAGATAAATCTTATTTTTATGCGAAAAACAAAGGTTATGGATGTGTCTAACATCTTTTGTTGCGAAGTACTCACAAATACGAAATGTTTTAATTTTTTAGAAGAAAAAACGTAATCCGTCCTTTTTTGCATAAAAATAACATTCATCTTCCGGAATGGTTTGCGATTCATATAGGCAAGGTAAACTAGTGTATATTGATCAATAAAGTAGTAGTGATGGCCGGAAAACAGGTGTCGTGGGATAAATAATTAGAAATTCTCAAAAACTCTTAATTTTGTTGTGGTTATTTAGAAGTACGAATCCTACGATTATGAAGAATTTCAAATATCTGCGAGAAACCATCGTCGCATTACCAACAACTGCGAAAACCTGCAGTTTGTCTTGGTTTTCAGCCATAACTTTTTTGCTTTTAGTTGGATCTTTTTACGTGTGGTCTCATAAATACCTAAAAATCGTATATAAGGAAAAACGTTTTCTCATTCTTTGTTGTCAAATAAAAAGTTTTCCCACAAAACTTAGTGTACCCATTTTATGCGTCCATGTTTTGAATACCCCCTTGAACAACTTGCAGCAATAAAACCAGACTTTACAGTTATTTCGCAAACTTTTCGTCTAATATGACTAAAAGTGATTTTTCTTGTAGCTACAATTGGCATTTAATACGTTGTGAAGAACTGATCTAATACAGGGTGGCCCATAAGTCCTTTGAGCTGGAAAAAAGGAATAAAACCAAACTAGTTACATTATGAAGAATTATTATATTTTGTTATCATCTTTATTGAATGGGAATTATGTTTTAAAAATCACATCGTCTAAATATAATCCATTACGATCACGGCACTCATATAAACGACGTCTAAAATTGTCGATGACTGCGCGGCAAGTCAACACTGTAATGATTGCCTTTTCTCTTCGGATATTTTCTTTCAGGACATCAACTGATCGCGGAGTGGTGTCGTACACTTTACTCTTGAGGTAGCCCTATAAAAAGAAGTCCATTGGGGTCAAATCTGGACTACGTGGTGGCCAGGAAATGTATCCTCTTCGAGAAATTACTTTGCTGGGAAAAAGTTGACAGACGATGGGCATAGAAGTGTTGGAGGTGTGGGCAGTTGCTCCGTCCTGTTGAAACCAGGTCAGCGTATTATAGCCTGGAAAATTCTGCAACGCTGGTGTCAAAAACTCTTCTATCATTGCTACATACCGCTCCGAAGTAACAGTTAATGCGCGACCTCTGTCGTCCTCAAAAAAATAAGGGCCTACGATGCCATGCGCTGACATAGCAGCCCAAACTGTAACTTTAGGGCTGTGTAAGGGCTTCTGATGCTTACGCCTTGGATTTTGGGGGCTCCAATAACTGCAATTTTGTTTATTTACATGTCCGTTTGAATGGAAGTGAGCCTCGTCCGAGAACAACACATTATTGAGCGAAGAAAATCGATTTAATATTTCATTCGCAAAGTTTAGTCTCTGAATAGCGTCATTATCTTTTAATTCCTGCACTAACTGAATTTTGTAAGCGTGCAGACGTAAATCTTTCCTTAAAATCCGCTGTAAAGATGTTTTGGGTACGTTTAGTGCACTGGAACGCTTACGAGTAGACTGGGTAGGATTTTGACGAACAGACTGTGCCACAATGTTGTTTTCTTCAATACGAGTTGTCCTTGGTCGACCCCACCGCTGTTTATCTAACGTCGAACCAGTCTCTTCGAACTTAGCAACCCAGTTCTTAATCGTTTGAGCTGTTGGACACTTTGTAAAATTGTGTAAATTGTGGTATTCTCGATATTTACGCCGCGCAATGGTTGCCGAATCATTATTTTGATAAAACGCGCGCACACAAAAAGCACGATCCGCTCCAGTGAAACACTCCATGGCAACTGAATTCCCAGACACTGAAGATACTGCCCCCACCTCGCCCGCGCCGCTCACGCTCACCCGTTAAATTTTATTCAAATTTGAAATTTCAAAGGACTTATGGACCACCCTGTATATTCATTATGTCTAGAGTGTGAATACAAGATAATTTTTATTAATAGTTCCTTTATTCTGCCATTCATCCGTTTGAAGAAATAGTCAGAACTTTTTGGAGAAGCACTGTTTCAGTATATTTTTGGATGCAACTTAAGTGCTGTCTCTTTTTGTTTCAGGACCAGCATTCGACGCATCGCGTTGAATGAGGATGCAGAGTTCTCCCAGCAAAGCATTCTAACAGTGATGGAGCGTTTCGTGAAATCGGTGAACAAAATGGACGAGACCATCCTGGTGCCGTGCCGTCTGATGGATCAAAAGGTCGGAGATGAACATGACCCAGCACAGAAGACACAGAACACAAAGTGCAAACATCCCATGGTGCTTCCCACGTTTCATTCGTCGGATTTGTTCCATATCTACAACATGCTCAACAGTGCCAAGGACAACTTGCTATGGGGACAGATCGAGGACACACCGAAACCTGCACCTAAAACTACTGCAACTACAGAATCCACTCAGGTTAAAGGTAAGATCTTAGTTGAACTGAATGTGCTAGGGCTCATGTCTGTGCTCTTGATATCACGAAAGCGTTGGATCAGCTGCGGCATGCTGCCCTCTTATGCAAACTTCCATCCTAAGGCCTGGAGAAGCTTTGCATATGGCTGCAAGATGTCCGTCGTAATTGACGGGTTCTCCTCTTCATGTTAACACGGGTCGACCTTATCGGTGTTGTTGTGTTCGCGTGCGGTCAGGTTCCCGCGTAGAACATCTACTGCCCTCCTTTCCTATAGGATGAATCCGATTCACAGCTTTGCTGATCACAGTACTCTACATGCAGGAATTCAGTGACAAACCGATCTCTGTGGATGGGCTTGAGAGAAGAAGACCAGCAGGCTATGACTGTTTTAGGACGCAACAACTCAAACTATGGCCTAACACACTATACAGGGTGTAACAATATGTTTATTTATAATTGATTTTGTGAATACTTTGCATCTCGGCTACTTGACGTGTCGATATTGTTTTGATTGCAAAAATGCTACCACCAAACATCTAAATACTATTTTGTTGCCAAATTTTTAGTTCTGTAATTGACGTTACCGTAGGAAGTGTATAGAGGTCCGGCACTAAACGTACGAAAACTAATAGAGATACGACAATCTAGTTAATATGCTAGGGTTAAAAGTTTAGCTTTAATTATCGATCATTTATAAGAAAGAAGACGTAGGGGTCTTTCTGTCATTTTACCTCTCACTCCTACCGGCGAGGAAGTATTGTAATCACAATAAAACAAAATGATCTGGGCTTAACTGTCTGCTTGGTTGTTCTGCTCGTACTAGAAAGAATGTGTATGGACTAATTTCATGGGCCTGTTTGACTGACTTGAACGTAATCCTTTGACAGTGCAGATTCAACCTACTTGACGCCATTTTCCGACCTTATATCATACACGTATAGCATAACTAAGAATTTTCTAGAGAATAGGCCGCTAGAATGACAAATACCTAACGTATTTGAATTTCATATTTAATTTGTAATATAGGCTGTGATTGTTTTTACTTGACATGATTCTTAAAATATTCAATTTAACTTAACAGTTCTCGAGAAAATGTTGAAATAGCATGATAATTTTCTGAATCGATCAAGTTAATAATCTATTGTATGATATGATCGCACGATGTCCATCATTATCGTTATCGTAAATATATTAAGCTGTTCTCATTGATTGCATTTCATTGAATTCATTTAGTATATAGTCCAGTCATTAGATGGTTGCTCCATACAAATAATTTTATATTCAATTCATTTTATTTTGAATCAAACAATCGTTATCTTTAGCAGAATCATTATGCTTTTCTCCGATGCGGATTTTGCCCAGAGAAATAATTTGTAGAAAGGGTATTTTATTATTATAGCACATCCCTTTTGGGTATATATTTTTGACTTGAACTTCATATCTTTTCAAAGCCTTCTTGAAATTTGTAACTGCAACGTTTACGCTTAAATATGGTATTCATTCATCATTTTCATTATCCTAAATTTCAGCTTTCTGACTTGATCTCTCAAAAAATAAGTAGTAGTAGTCTCTTTTGAAAAGCACTATACACTTCGAAGTTGAGTCATTTATTTTAACAGTGAGTAGATCTGATCAAAAGAAATGTTTTTTTCCTTTAACATTTTTGTGATAAAATTAAAGTAACAAAGTTATAGCCCTTTAGAAGTTTGGGTACCGCCCTGTCTCAATAATAATATTATGTGCTCGTGTTTGGCGACAACGGATATACTCCGCCTTATCGGTTCATCGCATCGGAAACAAAAAAGCGAAAGAATTTGAAACGCTGATCACGATGTTTTTATTCAGTCCGTGACAGTCGGTAACGCGTGAGTGAATAGTGGTGATTGCTGCGTGGCTCAAACGAAATAAAAAATGGCACATATTTATGCGGATCGGTTTCCCAATCGAGTGCAACCAACCCCTCGTGCCTTTGTTAATGTAGTACAACGGGCTCGTGAATCAGGTGACTTAAGACCTCACAGAGGACTGCATTCCGGTGCTCCAAGACCTCACGATCAAATACAGGTCCGCACTGAAATACTTGTCGGGAGGATACTTTATAAAACAAGGTAAAAAACACATATTTTGGTTTATCTTCCTTCTACAATCATTATCTGAAAATTAATGACTCAACTTCAAAAAAAACGGAAGTATTTTTTAAAAGCTATTTAGCTATTTCACAGCTGCACGTTGCTCACTGGAACTTGAAATCGTAAAAAACGAAACAGCTCTAGCAAAAATAATGATTACAGAGGAACGAAACACGCCAGATCGACAACTCAAGTGGCACTGAACAGGTGATGAGTTGCGCTGTACGCCTCTAGGGGCAGAAATGTGTAGTACACATGTTTTTTATCCAGATAATTAGTTAGATATTATATTAGTTAGATCTCGCACTTATGATAGTGTATGGTTGCTAAGATTTCGTTCGTTGTCCGAGAGACCAAGCCGAGACCGCTCTGATGAGTAGCCAAAAAGTACGACACAGCTGTCCGTGGTCGGACGGACGAGAACAGCATGTTTAGTTTAAACTTATAATAGTTATTTAAAGTGAAATAAATTCATAATCCTGCACATTGTCTCTCTTCTAAAAAGACTATGCGTAAGCCACTGCTTCAGGACAGTTGACAAACTATTTGAGATAAGATAGTGAGTGTTCCATTCATCTTTTGCACGATGTCGATATGTCGCCAATATTCAAAGTGCTTAATCTACAGTTGTATATAGAGGACAGTAGATGAAAGTGAAAAGAAAGTAATAATAAGGTGCTTAACCTGTCTCCTCACTGGAAATTTCACGGGCAGAAAGAAGCATTACTTCGATTTTGGAACACGCTAATTATACTGTCACCCAAAACGGGACATGATACACTCGTATGTATAGCCCGGTGAAATTGGATTCAAATGGTCTCATCCTCAGCCTCATTTTTTTGTAATTCCCGATTCAAAAACGAAAGGTGTCATGAGTTTAACATGTGTTTATTTGTATCTGTATGTGCGTTTCAGTGCGGTTTTTTTAATTAAATGTTTTGATTCGACTGTCTTCCTTTTCAAGCATAATAGAACAAAAAAAAACCTCGGAAAAATTGCATTACTACGATATGCGTAGAAAGTTAATCAATTATATGGGGTTGTCCAAAACGGATGCAGGAAAGTAAACGCATATTAAAACAAGAAAGATTGATATTCAAATCAAGTTGGGTACTTTATTTTGAAGGTTCATTTATACCATTTATGTACGAAAAATAATATCGCTCAAATGTTCACCACGACTGGATTTACAGACGTCCACGCGATGGTCGAAATTTTCAATGACATTTTGCAACATGGTCGGTTCTATGGCATTTATCTCGGCAATGATGTTGTTTTTGAGTTCTTGGAGGGTGGCTGGACTTTGCTTTCCAAATATCCCCATAAAAAGAAGTCCAAGGGAGTCAAATCGCACGATCTTGGTGGCCATGGCACATTTCCTCTGCGCGAAATCACGCGATCACCGAAGAAGGACTGCAATCGATGGATATTGACGTTGGTTGTGTGGCATGTTGCACCGTCTTGTTGGAAATAAACATCGTCCATATCCATTCCTTCAAGTTGCGGCAAAAAATAGTCCTCTATCATCACGTGATATCGCTCAGAATTGACGGTAACGGCGTCCCCGGCCGCATTTTCGAAAAAGTAAGGTCCGATGATGCCTTTTGACCACAATGCACACCACACAGTCACTTTTTGAGGATGCATCGGCTGCTCTTGATACTCACGGAGATTTTCGTTCGCCCAGATGCGGCAGTTTTGCTTGTTTACCTTCCCATTCAAAGTGAAATGCGCTTCGTCGCTGAACATGATTTTTGATGAAAAATTGGCATCAATTTGGCGGTGTTCAAGGAGCCAATCTGAGAACGTTCGGCGCGAAAAATGGTCGGCCCGACGCAGCTCTTGCGTCAATTGGATCTTGTAGGTATGTACATTCAAATCCTTGTGGAGAATGCGGAGCAAACTGGTTCTCGAAATGCCCAATTCTTGGGATCGACGCGTTGTTGATTGTTTCGGATCGTCTCTCACACTCTCCTTCACAACAGCAATATTTTCCGGTGTGTGAACGCTGCTTGGCCGGCCAGAGCCTGGCAGATTTGCCACAGAACCTGTTGCCTCGAATTTACGCACCAGACGACCGATGGTTGTTTCGTTTGGGCGGTTGTTGCGACCGAAATGTTCACGAAGCACGCGAAACGTGTTTTTTATTTTTGCACCATTTTTGTAGTGCTCTTGAATAACTTTAATGCGGTCTTCAATCGAATACGACTCCATAGCGATCAATGGTAAACATTCAACTAACAAAATGACATGTCGGTGACAGAAAACAAAGATGGCGTCTATGTCAAATTGACGTTTACTTTCCCGCGTCCCTATTGGACAACCCATTACTTGGAGAATTGCTTATACTGAGCCCAAAGTGATGATAACTCATCAATATTTGAGGGTCACTACGTGCTATGAGTTGTCGTACTTGTTTTTATTGTTTTGTTGTATGGTATATCATAATTCAAGTTTGCAACCTTCAGTCAGTTCGTTGTCATTTCGTAATATTTATTATTGCATTCTTTACAAGTCTCCAGGAAAAACATTTCTTCGTAAACCTTACTGAAAATGCGCTACAGCTCTTCAAAGTTTATCGCAATCCAAAGGCAGACAGACAAAAGGCTCATACCACGCCTAAACAAAAATGTGTCATTTTTAAAACGCTTTTATCAGCTTGGCCTGTATGTATGTAATGGAATCTTTGAGCATAATTTTCACCAATTTCCAGAAGTTTGATTAATTCGAAACTTCGCATACGTATCAAGGACCGATGACAATCCAATAATTTGATAACAGTTCCTTATAAGGACCGCCAGGATTGATAAATTCTTTTATAGATCCTCTATAGGGGAGTAAGAGAGATAGAGCTAGCGCGCGGTCTACGCATGCGTGCAGTTTCGGACTTACTCTTTGTTGGTTTGGGTCCTTGGCACCGCACAACGCAGGCAGATACTTTTTCAAGGCAGTGCATTTGCACCTTGTCCATTGTGAATGTTGTCATTAATCCTGAGTTGGGCTTTGACCGTCCACAGGATGCAAGGTTGTGCAGTCGATCATGCAGTCATTTATCAAGGATCGCGACTGTTTGCTGCTTGACAAGCTTATGTAGCACTTAGTCGTGTACGATCTTTAGACCGTATTCGGATTGAAGAACTTCATTGCTCTAAGTTAACAGGAAAAACCCCATGCAACAGACCAATACGATTTGACTGGCTACCTACATACTTGAATAATTTTTTCAAACTCACCAACTCCAATTATTCTGAATAATAATCATCTTACTGTCTATGTTTACAAATTTTGGAACAAAATAAATTTACCCAGCCTTGTCGAGGTTTAAACATCGATTGTTATGATCAACGCAATAATTGGTGCTAGTGAACTTTTGGTTATTATTAAACGAGGATATTGTTCCAATTATTCCTCACATTAGACAAAATAAAGGTTAAGGATGAAGTAGGTAACAACAACGGCGGTGCGAACATAAACACGGGTGATTGATCTCGAATGAGGTCAGTGATGGTAGGTCTAGATGTCAAAATGGAAAAAAAAATGGTCAAATAAGTTTTTTATATCTAAACAGCCGCTTAGGCAGATGCCTAATTTAAGGTCATTCATTATCGTATACGTAATATCATATATTAGCAATGAAACTAGTAGAAAAGATTCTTCCATCAGCTTAAGTTGAACTGCTTGCTTTCCTCTCTGTAACCATGACCAACCGCATACAACGTTGTTTTGTTTGTCAGCAAGCATCAACTAGTCAACTACCTCTTACAAATAGTTCGCCAATTCGTGATACATCTTGGGTTTCGTAGGCTTCCATTTTGCACTTTTGTCTTACTCAGACAACATCATCTAATATTAACTTGGAAATCCGTAGGAAATGCCGAGTTGATGTACTTGACGCCTTCCACTCCAATTGAATTATATTAAAATTGCCGAGACATCGTTCTCATTGTCCGTTAATCACGTCATTATACTTTCAAAAAATTTACAGAATACTCTTAAAATTGGCCGTGACTTTTACCCAGTCGAAAATTCAGGAATGTATAAATCATTTTAATTACCGCGCTTGAATAATTTCGTTGTCTACTGTTCTTGGAAACATTCGTAATAGAGTAAAAAAATGGAACTTTGGACACACTTTCAATTTCACCTAAGATTAAATTAAAAATTATCTCAATGCAAAAGAGTGACCCCAAAAAAGCAGTTTATTCAACTGTTTTGAAAAATCAAGAAGTATAATTTTTTCCTTCTAAAATTATTAAAAAAATGCCCCTATTTAGCTCTTGTAACGACCCCAAAATCTAATGACTTTGATGTTCGACACTTTACGAGTTTTAAGTTCCCCCTAATTTCCGGGATTGTTTCACATTAGTTATTTTTTTTTTTTTTGGGAACTTTCCAGAGATGGGGGTGGGAGAGTCGGAAAAGCAGGTAAAACAGCAAGAGGCTGAGATGATTTTGGATGTTGCTTTTTAATATATTCAATAAAAATGCTTATGTGACAACGCCCAAGAATTAACAAAAACATGAACATGCTATATTAAAATATCATTAACAAGTTGTAAAATAATGAAACTTGTTATTGATATTTAAAAAGTATGTCGTATTGTTTAGACACTTGCTATATCCGTTAGAAAGTATCATGCGTTATACCGGGTGCCGATGAAATTATTGCCTCTGGATATATCATTAGATATAGTCCAGTCGCTGTCAGCGCATTACTTCAGGAATGCTCAAAAATAATATTCAGGCAAAAAAATGCAATACTCGCTTTGCTTTTTACTTCCTACGTCACTGGGCGAGGAAATATTGTAATCGCGAAAATCATCGAACATGGGATGTTTGAACGATTATTTTTTTTTTTTCGTTTTTGAGATTTGGTGCTAAAATTTGGCTTAGCAGTAATCTTGTGTGAAAATTTCCTCCAAATCCGAACAGTACTTTCCAAATTGTGAGGTGGCCATGGATTTTGACAACGCCCAAGAATTAACAAACACATGAACATGGTATATTAAAATATCATCAACAAGTTATAAAATAATGAAACTTGCTATTGATACTTAACAAGTATGTCGTGTTGTTAAATTCAACGTTTAGTCACTTGCTATATCCGTTAGAAAGTACCATGCGTTATACCGGGTGCCTATGAAATTATTGCCTCTGGATATATCATTAGATATAGTCCAGTCATTGTCAGAGCATTACTTCAGGAATGCTCAAAAATAATATTCAGGCAAAAAATGCAATACTCGCTTTGCCTTTTACTTCCTACGTCACTGGGCGAGGAAATATTGTAATCTCGAAAATCATCGAACATGAGATGATTGGGCGATTTTTTTTCCGTTTTTGAGATTTGGTGCTTAGCAGTAATATGATATCATGAGTACCAATAGGCTTCGCCATATGAGTAAAGAAACATAATAATGCCAGTAGGCGTGGGTAGTAAAAACATGTTTTCAAAAAATCGACAAGAAACGTCACTTTGTAATTCTAATTATGCCACCTGGTAAAAAAGAACAAGTGACAATATTAGTGTAATTTATTTTGAAACCACACCTCAAATAACGCTACAAATAATAAGAACGGGTTTGTGAATATTCGGTTTTATATCTCCAAATATTTTGCAATACAGAACTTCCGAAATCCCAATCGTCAGGGTCGAATTTGGAACACTACAAAGACTCTACTATAATGTTTCTGCCCATTTTCGGTTATAGCAGATTTTTCTTTTCATGCAGAAAGTGGGTTCGTTGCATTGTGAAATATACATAGTACGAGTACTACTTGCTACTGGCCTGATGTCGAGCTGTTAAATAAATAAACACAATCACTTGAATCTCTTGATGACGATGCATTCTTATCTCATCTATGACTAATTTATGTGTTGAATATGCATGTTGTATTCCATCAAGTCTTCACATGTATCTCTACTAAACTTACTTTCCTCGCGTTTCAGGTCCATAACAATGCATTTTCAATATTTTAGTCGAAGATTTCACATCAATTGATCGGTGTGTTACGGCAACCGTTCTGGGTGGGTTTTCGCTTTTTTCCCGTACTTAAGAAACGACAGATAACCTCATACTCTCTTGTTGTTCTGGAGGACTGGATGTCCTTTTGAGAGCGGGAATGTCTACCTCAGGTGGTCCTGGGCTATGCAAGTTTTGCGTGGTACCATTTATATATACGTAGTCTGTTTCACGAGTATAAATAATGGTAGAATGACAGCTGATTATCTAGTAATATTTCAAAATTCCCCATATCGGCAAAGGACACACAATTCTGACGGATCCGTCAATGCCAAGTTGACAGAATAATATTTTGTTTTGTTTCTTTGTACGCTACAGATTCAGTTTGTGCTAAAGGCTCTTTTATTTAGAAAAGTTCGTTTGCATACAAAAAACAAAACGCTACAATCAAGTTTTGCTAGATTAGTTAACTCTTTTAACTGTAATCTCGAGCTTTCGGCAACTCTCTATGGAGCCTTCATCAGGAGCTGAAAACATAATTATGATGCTAGCAACCAATACGGGAAAGATTTAATTGTTAAACAACTTACTCGTCGTTGAGGTTGCAGTCAAATGGTGTTTCAAAACAATATATATATATATATATATATATATATATATATATATATATACAAAGAGAAAATGATCATGCAGAAAAAGGTATATAACAAAAAATAGGATGATTTTCCAATTTGTTTGTTATATGTATCGAAACAAGTGTCAATAGGCTAGTTGACACTTTGTTAAGTAGGACTTGAATAGTCAATATTTTTTCTATCAAACCAAAAAAAATTAATACTATATATTTTCCAGACCAAAAAAAGCATAAAACGTAATTTGAAAATGTGTTTTCTCTAAGTATTCTGAGCAATCACGAAATTTAACATTAAACTGATACCGTAAATGTACGAAAACTGGATGCTTCTTTATCACCAAACAAAACACGCAGCCGCCACAGAAACTTTCATACACTTCTTGATGTTCCTCAGCTCAGTAGAGCAGAAATCTGAGTTGACGGCAAAAAAACTACAAACCATCAATGTGTCAATTTTCGGCAAATTTGTCCTTCCTGCTTTTAGAAATCCAGCGCTCATAATTGTTTTTTTTTCAATAAAACGCGAAAACGATAACTTTTTACGTTGACTAGGACTTTTTTGAAAACTTTTAAACAAGACAACTTTTGTCCACGAGTGACGAACGGATGACGTTTCTTTGTTTACACTTTGTATGACGTCACATCATGGCCGATAGTGTTTTCACCGTTTCGTAATAAAAATGAAAAAATATTCTTTTTTAAATTGGACCCATATATCCATCCTGCGCTTTTAGAAATTAAAATCGATATATTTTGTTTCCCTAAGGCAAACACTGTAAGAAATATTCATTTACTCTAAGAAATTAGATAAGAGTCAAGTAGCCAGTTCTACTGAAAAACCACACATGTGTATTTTCTGCATTTCGCGGGGGAGCCGCGGGTTTGGGCTTGAATAGTTATTTTATGTTTTCTTTGCAGGTCATATCCGCAGACCGTCATCGATAAGCGTAGCATCGAACTCTTCAACTTCAACTCTGAGTGACGGCGACTCCACAGACTCAGAGTCCGGCAGCAATGATTCTGGCATTGAAGAACCGTCAGTGAAGGAAGATAAGGTCCAGCAAATCGCTCAGGACTTCCGCAAACATCTGCACGACCTAACTTCCTCTCTCACGCAGATGACCGAGGCCGCACACTACCTGACATGGCGCTATCAGTACGACATCGGTGGGCCTGTCTAGGGTACCACTTTATCTCTAGAAATCGCTCTAGGTCAATAGGCTGTCTGACTTCCATCTCCTACCAGGTAGCGGCTAGCGCACTGTTACGGAATTGACAAAATTTGCTTGACAGAACAGAATCTCTTGTCCCAGGACACAAAGTATTCGAGTCCTATGCGTTTGCTGGGATTTCCATTGCTTACTGTTACTTTTGTTGGTGGTTATATTTAATATAAAACGCTCTCCAAAAATTATCTCGCCTAAATGTCTGTTTGAAAAATCGTAATCGAACTGGGAGTTTTTTAATGGTTATATTGAAGAACTCTATTCACTGAACATTAACCACTCTGTATTAAAAAAACGGTAAATTTCCAGGCTCCTTTTTTTTATACATTTTTGTTCGTATATTCCCGTACCGGATCTACTCTTAAATTTTCCTTACAAAATTCTGTAGCACCTAATACAAATCATGTGTCAAATTGTTGATTTAGCTTTCAACTTTACCCAGCGATTTTTGTCAATTCCGTAATACTTTCATAAGCTCTAATCTCGACTTCATCAATTTTTCACGCAGAATTTAAAAGATCCACGATGTGAGTGGAAAAAATTGAACTGTAATAAAATTCACAGATATATCTCGAGATTGGAACTGCCAAAGTTCGAAAAGGGTTATTTCATTTGCCTTAAGTGTAGATTTGTGTAAAACGCTATCAAAATTAGTTCATTAATAATTCTGCTAACACAGAAAATGAACCAAGCGCTAATGCATCTTTTCGGAATTTTTAGGTCAATAAATTCAATTACTGAATCATTCCAGAGCCTACTGGTACTAAAACTCAATCATGGGATGTATAAAAATATGCGGTTCAAAATTCTTGTGTTGGTTGATGCCCTGAAGCCGGCTCTGTTCATAGCAGGATTTGTCTAAGAAGACTAGAAACTGGAGGGTGACCTCATAGAATGAGGGTGAAGCCAAAAGTGGCTATCTGGCTATCTACTACAGCTAAACGTATTTTAGGTTACTTGCAAGGAAGCTCTACGTGCACTGCATTTCCGAGAGCCACGCTCTGTCTGACAGTATTGGCTCGATACGATTGTGTTGCCTTAGACAGCCTGCGCTCCTGTTTCCAGTCTTCTTGGTTTTTTCAAGTCTGCCAGGTAGGCAACCAGATATGCATTTATTGGCGCTTGGTTCGAAATTGTATGCAGTAGATATGTGACCAAAGACAAATTTAATATAAATGAATGGGTTTATTTGTACAAAATCTTTATAAAACACTGAAAATACGCGTAAGAGCTGTTAAATACTATAGATGTTAGAATCTTAACACTTGTAATATTGATTAAACATTTTGTACTTTTAATGATTGGATCGTTGAAATTGTTGATGTTGACAAATTAATATTTCAGTATTAATGTTTTACATAAATTAGGATTTCTAACACAAAAAAGGATGGATTCCTATGCTGTGATAATGTAAGGTATACTTTGGTATCCGAAGTGTTGATAACATTTTGGTGCTTACTCACTTAATGCCTTTACTATTTTCAGCACTGTACTTGGAACAGGTCGTATCCACACCATATACTCGATTATTTTTATTGTTGATATAATAATTTTGTAATACTGATATCATCGTGGGGATGCAACCTGTTGAGACAAAGGTTAAACTTATATTTACATGAATCTACCTGAAACATTCCCTTTTTAACAACCTCTTGAGTGATATAGCCCACTATATTGCTGGGTGGTTAAGGAAGTATAAACTACAAGCCTCTTCAGGTTCTTTGTGGACCTTGGGGCTTCTCTAGGTGAATTTCTAATATGAATATCTTTTTAATATATACAGGGTATTTGTTACCATCCTGTGCTACAGTCCATTCGCTTCTTTTGATGGGTAAAATAGTTTCACTCGTTTTCCCTTTTAGATCCCCATGTGTTTGAGAGAGAGACGCGTGTTAGGAAGCGACGTCACCACGTTGCCTCGCAACAACAGGCGCGGAGCGAGGCTGTGGCTCCTCCGAGGCTTATTTGTACTCTTCCTAACACGCTTCTCTCTCTGTAGTACACGTGGAAATCTAAAAGGGAAAAATACTTTGACCACCAATGTAAAACGGTTGCTTTGTTATCCACCGGAAGAAAAACTGCATTGATCAATTTTGTGATGGATTTGTATGTATTTCAACAGTTCAGCTATCCAGTATTCTGAGTTTGCAGTTGTAACTATTGACAGTAACATGTCTTCATATATTTTGTTGTAGCATTATGACCTTTCAAATTCTTTTGTTGAAACATTATAATTTTTTATATCGCATATAATGAGAATAAATATGTAGCTTCTCAATATCTTTTTTCATAGTGTGAAATTTATACAAGGATTCCAATGCTACAACCTTCAAACAGATTTATCTTGAGTGTAAACTACCAATTTTTTGAGAATTGGTTTGAGATAGATCTGCTACATTTCATGGCATTATTTTTCCAGTGGTTTTAGAGATATCCTGTATAGATTTTATATAAGTGATAAAAATATTTATATGTCTAGATTGATCTATTTTTGCTCATATTTATATATTTATTTACCTAAAGGTATTATTTTTAATTGTAAAAATTGTTTTAATCCATAAATAAATATTAAAACAATTTATTGGCTTTTATTTTTATGTTATTATTGCTTTAAATAAAAAGGTTGTATTCTAATAACTGTTTTATTTTACAAAAGTGATTGGATGGGCAACAAAAAAAAAATGAAAATATGCGGAAGGTGTATTTTCGTTTTCTGTATTTTCTTTGATTTTGTAACAATGGAAACGTAAGTACGTTTTTCAGATCTTCAAGTTCATTTAATGTGGTTAAGGTAACAAAAATAGCTTGAAAGCAGTGTAAACATAGATGTTATACAGGGTGTTCATTTGAAAATTCCCCACCACGGATTTGTCGAAAACCAGTGGTTTTTTGTTAAAAAGTTGGCCCCCTCCTGATTATTTAAGTCCTATGATCTTTGGAAGTCGTTCAATAATACAACCTAAATATTTCTTGCGTTTATTTGTCTTTAACATACAGGTTACTTTAAAAATATTCAATATAAATATAATAAAATTATAAATTTACAATATTATAAAATATAAAAAGGTCTATCGTAATATTACATGCAAGTATGGTACATTACACAGAAAAGAAAAATGAGATTACATTTCCTAGCATATACTGTAAATGTTTCAAGTTTATTGTATACAGTGTCGGACTTGACTGCTCCACAAATCACAAATAGTACAAAATCAGCGGACACAGTCAAGCTTGTTAAATAGGAAAAACATATGTAACTCAAGTTTTTTAAATTCCCGTATAACATGCTTTCAGGAAGATACAGCTATACATACTTTACAAAAAAAACATGCACTTGGAAAACAACTCAATTCGTACAGGGTGATTTTGAAAAACAATCCAAGTAGAAAAAAATGTCCCATTATCAAGATAGGTCGAAAAGGCATCTGCCACTAGAACCGACCACTGCAAACGGTGAATCTACCGGTTGAGACTGTAAAGAGCTGGAGGCCCAGTCACCACGATGATTTAGCTGTGTAGTAAAAGTGGTCTACTTGCCACTGAACAAACAGAACATGCTGCTACAGGGAGCTAAAATTACACCCTCAACATTTTCAATGCCACTAAGTTCAGTATATTTTCAAAGTATAATAGATTCCACTTTCTATATAACGGTATCTAAAATATTCAAACCAATTTTTCTTCAAACGAAATGGTCTGGCAAAAAGTGAATGTGAAACTGAATATAATATCTAAACATGCGAGAACTCAGTGGCATAAATAATGTTTACTTTTCCCATCGGTAAATATCACAAGTTTCTATGACGCTGATGTTATAACTTTATAGCCTTAGAGTTTTTTTATAGGGAAAAGAAAAATAGCTGCTAGATTTCAAATATCACAAATGCGATATTTTATTGAAATATAAATATAAAAATTGTCGTAAACTATGCAATGGTAAAGAATGCACATAAGATGGCATAAAATAAGGGAATTCTCACATAACTTGAGATAAAACAATGATGTGAAATGATACGATAGCTCTAATACTTCAATGAATACTTGAAAAAAACATTAGAATGACTGACTTTTTAGTCATCAATATTGACTGGACTAATAAGGGCATATATCCTACACAAGCTGCTTAAAAATTTTTCTCAATATGAAATAATCAAGAATTGAATACGATACTCACCAGAAATTTTGGTCGCGCAGTTGTTATGGAACAGTCGTTTGAGTGACTTTTTGTGAAAATGGACAAAATCGTGTATCGAGCTGTCATTAAATATCTGTTTTTGAATATATATATATATATATATATACAGGGTTGTCGAAGTTGAGTCATTTATTTTAACATTTTCTGGTAAAATTAAAGTAACAAAGTTATAGCCAGTTAGATGTTTGAGTACCGCCCTGTCTCAATAATAATATTACGTGCTCGTGTTTGGCAACAACGGATATAATCCGCCTTATCGGTTCATCGCATCGGAAACAAAAAAGCGAAAGAATTTGAAACGCTTATCACGATGTTTTTACTAAAATTTTATTCAGTTGCATCAAGCCGGAAAATTTCTCAGGATTGCGAGGTTTTCTCCTTGTCTATATAAAATTACTTCATAACTGCGTATAAGAGCCATATTTGAGCTATTTTTATTCAGCAGTAGCTAAAACAACGTATATATCACGAATATTACAGTAAATATACATAATAAAATCTAACGAATAGATTATACATATAAAAATTTAAACAATAATTATTCGAGGCTGTCGACTATTTGTATCATTATGTGTTAATATGGCAGTAACACTATTCATATTTACTTGTTCACGATATATATTGGGCATACTGAATTATCCATAATATAACTAAAAATAAAATTTAGCACTAGCAGCATTAAAAAATGTACCATGAAAATTAAAATATATCGCCAATCACAGACATGCTTTTTCCTACAAAATACCGAAATGAGATTAAAATGAACAGATACAATAAACAATGCTCCGGAACTAACTGCCAGTGATACAAAACATGAATATTTTGGATAAAATGCAATAAAATTTGTTAAAATGACAAATACAACATACAACAGAGATCTCACTAGTTATATATACAAACTAAATCAAGAATAACATTTTTATTCAACAGTCGTAAGTTACCTGTGATTTGTTACTCAAACAGAAAAGATTTTTTCGCAAGATCCCGTAAAGCAGGAAGCGGGGACAGATAGAATTACCCCCTCTCCTCGAAGTTTTGACGGTTCCAAGTTACACCGGGAGTGGTTAGATGGCGCATGCTCGGCAAAGCGCACTGACAGTTCTGTTGGCGGATACAAACATAACCTTGTTGAATTTGTTAAACTCGTGTCCGTTTTAAAAGGATTTACTATTTCTCTTTCACGAATTCTTCTTCGATTCAACGGATTTAGTCTCTACAATAGTACCATCCTTCAGAGATACTTATTTCAAAGTTGATGCTCCCCGGAGAGACGAATGGTTGGACAAAGTTCACGACAACACCTTATTAAGACTTATTAGCATCAATTTTGAGGAACCCAAATAACACTCAAAAAGATTCACTCAATTTTCGGCGCTGCGAAGACAAATTTTGAGTTGAGATGTCTGTTTTTAAATGGCATTGATATAAGACCTGAATGACGTCACATCTGTCTTCCCCTATTCCCGTTCTTCGCGAAAATGTGAGTCAGTTCCCGGTACAGCACTGTGCACGATGGACTCGGGAAAAAATCCTTAATGTTGAATCATCAGCTCGCAAAGATTATTTTGTCAGAAGTGAGATTTTCACGTAATAATCTGTCTTAAAGTGTAAAACCCGGAATTGTAATACAATAACTAATGATAATAAAATTGGCGTATTTGTCTGTTCATGAAGTACGTAATTCATGATTCCAACTTTTAATCTTGATTTTTAATGAATATTCTCTGATTTAGTTTGTACGCGAAACGAGGTCCGCTAAAACTTTGATCATAGATCTGGATTCGAGGCTATGGTTAGTGTAACAGATAAACCAGATTCTTTGATCAAGTTAACGATGTCGGGATGACTCAAATGCATTATGTCGATGTGATTGACTGCTACTATGTAGTCACCGACTCTAAGTCTTCCACACCTTTCGGCTGGACTGTCTTCTATCAATCGCCCTGCAATCAAATTTGGTTATTGAAACAAAATTAAGGGTTCCCAATAGTTGAAAGTACTATAATCAATTAATTATTCCGTCGTTTGCCCTTCTAATACAAAATACTGAACTGAGAACATGCAACGTCAATGATTATAAACATATGGGATCAGCTACTGCCTGGAACACGCGTTAAATGGCAACGTTGCGTTTTGCATTGGATTCCACACAACCGCACAATCATAGAAGTAAATATTTCGCTTGACATTATTCATTACCAGTGTTTTGGTTGTTTTTTGGATGGTATAAGTTTTTACTGGTTTCCTCAAGATGATATTTTGAAAGTACCTTTCAGATATCAGATTTTTCATTCCATTATAATGTAGATGATACATCTACCATTATCAAGCAGAATAAATGGTTTTTAGGTGATATATCGGTCCAAGTAAAGATATCATGGCCACGCAAGACAACTATTGAAATATACTCTACTACACTCTAGAAGACTATCTGTAGCGAAATTTTTCTCGAAATCGTTGCAAGCCGCTTGAAAAATGCAAATGAAGATTGGAAAACTAAATGACTCCGTTGTTACCCCGCGATAGACATACGATATTGTCATTCTTGTCACCTAGACTGCAGCGTTGCCAGCTCATCGGACAATTTTGCTACCTCTGCTATTTTGCTAGAATGTTATAAACAAAAAAGAAGCTTAGGGTAAGATATTGGGGGATACCAATGGAGATATATAAAATTTGAGGCGTAGCAATGTTTGCCAAAAAACTAAAAAAAGCTGTTATTTACATTTTGCGTCGACTGGCGTCTATGCGGCGGAACGTTAATGTCTCTGAACACTTTTATAAATGCCCAGTTTTATAGGATAAAATATTTTTTGAATACAATTGGAAAAAAAAATGTTTTACTATATAAATATATTTATTAACTACGATTTTCATTTTCTCTGTTCTTTATTAGTAATATGGTTTTCTAGTGACTGCATTCGCACTTGGGCGAGGAAGACTCCTAGAAAACCTCAACCGTTAAGATTAATTGTATCAGCTGAAGAAAAATTAAGTCGTTCCAAAATTCTGGCTTCATTTGTACAATCGAAAATCGCCAGCATGCCACAGTTATTAACCTAACAAAAAGGAGCATTGAAGTAACGGTTCATACGAGGCTCATTTCAATAACATAAAACGCTCTAATAGTTCGATATAAATGGTTTGAATGTATCGAATCTAAAAAATCGCACTAGCAACAAGTTCACATAATGTGACTGCGCTATGAAGAAGGTAAGTAACTTTACATCTTTGACATCGCTACCATCATATACATATGTATATTTTGGTTAATAGTATGAAAACTAATGTCTAGATAATTAATTACAATAGCAATCAACGTTACTTCAACAACTTGATTCAGTCATCTCATCCAGACTTGCAAGAGAAAATGTTTGAAAATTTTCAGATCCGTCTCTGTCCTCATGCCTCCGGTTCTCGGTTTTATACAATATCCTTTTCGTCTACTATACAACGTTATTAAAATTCTCATTTATTTTAAAAAACATAGGATGTCAAACCCAACACACAAGTGATGCAAGACTCACCCAGTTTTCTGCACAGATATCGCTCAGAAGAGTTGGAAGTAGACCTAATTTCCACTTTACAGACACTTGACACCCATGTCACAGCACTAAAGCACCACTGAGACACAATCAAGAACCCTATAGTGAACACCACTACTAAAAAAAGTAGCTAAACGGAATAGAGCTCTCCACGGAGCTGTAAACGCATAGACATTCCGCTGCGCCGGCGGTTGCCGAGAAACTGAAGCGTGTGAGGCGTGAGTGCTGTACCTCGCTGCGGCGATACGGTACGGCCGGGTACTACAGCCACGCCCCTTTCCATCGAGTCGCTTCGTGATACTGTCAGATAAGAAAACGCAGACGCGCGGAGTGGGAGCTGGAAAGGGGGGGGCTGTACTACCCGGCCGTGCTGTATCCCCGCAGCGATGTACAGCACACGCTTCAGTCTCTCAGCAATCGTCGGTGCAGCAGGATGTCCACGCGTGCACATCTCCGTGTTCGGTTAAGCTATTTTTTTAATAGTGGTGTTCACTATAAGAGTTCTCGATTGTCTCTCAGTGGTGTTTTAGTGTTGTAACGTGGGTGTCAAGTGTCTCCAAAGTGGAAATTAGGTTTACTTCCAACCCTTCTGAGGGAAACAGGATACATGTGCAGCAAAGAAGGTGAGCCTTGCATACCCATCTACTTGTCTGTTAGGGTTGACATCCTACGTTTTTTAAATTAATTGGTATTTGGGAAAAACTAAAATTTGGCCAAATCGTTTTTATTTTTGTCTGACTTTATTTTAAGAAATGTCAAAAAACTAATGGGACTACATGATGGTGTTTTTACATGTGCCCGAAGTGCACAACATTTAAAAAAGTACGACCCTGCATCTGATAGCATCTTTTTCTACGACTTCAACGATGTATCACGTTACATTTGTTTTTTTAAAGTTGCAATCAAATGCTTGATGTAAGATTGTGTGATTACTGAATTTAAACTAGTCTGATCCTTATCTTGGCCACACTGTAATACATTATTATAAAAAGGAATTGACAGAAACGTGTACTAATCAAACGTTCTTGTAAGTATTCTTATGTACTTATTAGCAAAGCCTCGAACCAAATTCTAGTTTTAGTCCAAGGAATTCGTGATAGTCTATAATTGACAGTATCGTGCTTTGACAATAAGCCCTTGGCACTATGTTTACTAAATATGCGTATGCCTGTAATTCCACATGATCGACGAGTTATAAGTTGGATTCAATAACATTCTATCAACAGGCATTAAAATCGTCCGATGAGCTGGCAACGCCGCAATCCAGGTGGCAAGAATGACAAGGTTATCTGACAAGACGGATGTCTATCTCGGGGTGTCGACGCAGTCATTTAGAACGTCAAAGCGACAATTTTCATTTGCACTTTTGCGCAACGATTTCGGCAAAAAGTTCGCTACGGATAGTCTTCTAGAGTCTAGTAGAATACATTTCAACAGTTGGTCTTGCGTGGCCATGTTACCTTTACTCGGACCGATATATCTTTGTTTATTTACCACTATGGAACGAATCCAGTTATATACGTTTGTGAAGATTTTTCCTGATCGTAAAAAGTTAATTTTACCATTAGGAAAGATATTCAAAGAAAATAAACATTATATATGACAGTGACATTGATGTCAATTGACGTGACGTATATCCAATCCAATATGGCGGCGACGTGTCAGTGTATATATGTTGTGATTATAAATATAATTTAAATAAAGTAAATACTGTGATACTAACACTTTTTGAATTCTGCTAAAAAACAATAGATGACTACATAGAAACTCAGTTATGGTTGTTTGAAAAACTCAAAATACTGTGCGAAGGTAGTCAAAAAATCTGACGATCTACCCTTATTCACTTTTTTTCATCGATCTTCAGATTTAGCACATCATAATTCCAGACAATAGCTCAAATTCAGCTAGATCTATAAGGAAGAATTGTTGAAAATAAATCTCTTCAATTGGTACCATTGTGCAAAGTTGCAGCAACCATTTAAACTCTTCAACAGTTCAGTTCATAATAAAAATAAATCATAACGTTCAAACTCTGACCAATAAAATACAACAAAATTTGGCCTAAAAAAATATCTACCCTAAATACTAGATATAAATAATATAATGCTTAAGAGAATAAAAGTAGTAATCTTTGTCCCAATAAAACATATACAAAAATCGTACAATTTTTCTCCCGTTTGCGAGACACTTTACAAGAAATCGACCATATTCAACTTCTTCACTTTAAAAATAAAATAAAATGATGCTTGTAGCTGCATTCATTTTCTGGACGCCCTGTAAAAAATATATCATGTATCACTCACCAATCGTAGATCCCATCTTGTTTGCTGAAGATATTATAACAAACCCAAAGCCTTCGTTTTCTGTCCGTTGCACTGTTACATCATATGTAGGCCCTGGATGTGGAGTAGCAACAACAAGTGGCGCACTGACGTTTCCCATGTTTGGGTGGCCATCTGGCGGCCAATTATTCAAGCCTGTAGGAATAATTTCGATAACTCGGGAACTATGGCGGGCAAAAGGATTGTACAAAAAATATTTCGCCACCCACGCACGTTGAGTTAAGGCTTGATATTAGGCCCGGAATCCACTTGATAGAAGAAGATATATTAAAAAGGCATATTGATGAAGAAAAACGGCTTGAAGCGAACTCCTGAAAAAACTGCGGTGGTAATAAAAGGTGGGCCATAGAGTTTAGGGATGCGGGGTTTCATTGAGTGTATCAAATTTTGGAAAATCTCACGCTTAAAGATCAGCGTAATGCGGCCACATATCGCACAACGCAGTTAACGTGCCAGTTGCCACGTCTCGTGAAACTTACCCATAGAATATCCAGTGCTGATCGGCATAGGAGGCGGATGCATCCTTCTTCTCAACACCAAGCTGACTTGACCTCTAGCGGCGGCTGCATTAATCAGTTGAACTACTTGGCGATGCGAAGCTTTCAATACTGAATACCCTTCTACGCTGACAATTTCATCCCCTGTACGAATTCGACCGTCCAAATCAGCAGCACCGCCTGCGACAATATGACCCACCGCCACCTACAACAAAAATCGCATTATGTAAGTTGACTCTGCAGTTTCCACTGAACAGTTCATAAAGGATTACGTTCAGCACAAGTTAACCCCTCTGAAGAAAAAGATACGTACACGTATAGGAAAAAACTAAACTGATGAAGTCAGGCAAACAGGACCATGCAATTAGTCATTTGGTAATGCTAGAAATTTCTTCCCTGCCCAACAAAGGAATGGACCATCAGGCAACACTATTGAACACCACCTGGGTGTCCAGTGGTAAAGTTCACATTTCAAATTTTGTTTTATAAAGTATCCTCCCGACAAGTATTTCAGTGCGGACCTGTATTTGGAGCACCGGCATGCTCTCCCCTGTGAGGTCTTAAGTCACCTGATTCACGAGCCCTTTGTACTACATTAACAAAGGCACGAGGGGTTGGTTGCACTCGATTGGGAAACCGATTCGCATGAATCCGTGATGCAGTAAAGACTCCCCCCCCCCCGTAAATAAGAATCATGTCCACAAGTTCAGCATTTTCGTAAACATGTGCCATTTTTTATTTCGTTTGAGCCTCGCAACAAACACCACTATTCACTCACGCCTTACCGACTGACACATTGACTGAATACAACTGAATAAAATTGTAGTAAAAACATCGTGATAAGCGTTTCAAATTCTTTCGCTTTTTTGTTTCCGATGCGATGAACCGATAAGGCGGATTATATCCGTTGTTGCCAAACACGAGCACATGATATTATTATTAGGACAGGGCGGTACTCAAAACTTCCAAAGGGCAATAACTTTGTTACTTTAATTTTACCAGAAAAATGTTAAAGGAAAAAATATTTCTTTTGATCAGATCTACTCACTGCTATATGCTAAAAGGTGGGTAGAACTGACTAGTTTGGAAGCGTATAAATATCCCAAGGCCAAACATTTGAGATGAGCATGAAATGTCAAAAAAACAAAGTTTTGGCGATGTTATACAATTTTTTCTTTGTTTTTTTGCCTCTCACCAGTGGACGGATTTTTGAATACTACAAGGCATTTTCATCATTGGTACAGTAGTAACCTTGTGTGAAAATTTCATCAAAATCCGAGCGGTACTTTCTAAGTTAATAGACAGGCCAAGGATTAGCGGATAGGCCGGACAAAACAATCTTATTTTCGAAATGTATCGCGATTACAATAGCGACGAAAAAAACAATATTTAAAAACGTTCTTAAATCTTCTTTTCCAATTCATAAGCAAGCAGTTCGGTTTGCCTATACGGCGCGCGATGCCCAGGTTAAGATACTAACGCACAATAAAAAATAGATCACGCAACTCACCTGAGATTTATCTTCAATGCCTCCGATAATCCTGAAACCGAATCCATTTTCCTGCCTTTGCAAGGTGACCGCTGTGGTAATATATTCAACATTTCGCGAAGGGTACCACCAATCGTTCCCATTGTACTTCTTAGCATTGTCATAAGCGTCCGCTACCTCCAAGGTTCCAGGCCTCGGATTGGCGCAGTATACACATGCGCAGTCATACCGATGGGGAATCGGCATATATAGACCATACTTAGTGTCCAAGGGAGGAGGGTACTCGCAGGGTGGCTTGTTCTGGTTGTCAGATATGTCAATTTCATCCAGATCCTCATCTGGATTGTCTATCAGTGACAGACGTAAACGAGACCTGTCAGGGTTGATGCTGTCATTGGAATATTCGTGCTTGAATAACTCGTGATTAGAATTTGAGTTCATATCCTTCACAGGTGTTTTCGACATGCTCCTTGTATCAACCAAGGGTGTTTTGGGTCTGCTGGGTAGCACCTCCCTGGGTTGTGTGCTGTAAATATCTGCGGTAGGCGTTTTGCTACGGTACGCGCTGCCGGAATCTTTACCATTAAATCGAATATCTAACTTTCTAGGCTTATTTCTAATATTTGGTGTTTTGCTTGAGCATCCTCTTTGGACACATATGGTTGCTTCACTGTTGTAAGGGCAATTTTTCAAAACTTGAACTACGTCGTCGTGAGACATGTTTTGCAAGGAGATGTCGTTGATCTCCAACAATATATCTCCTTCCATCAAGTTTTTGCAACGCTGATGATCGAGGATCTTCTTTACCCTTTGGCCACATGCGCTGTCTGCTATGGTGAACCCAAAACCTAAATTACCTGAATGGACGGGAAGATAATTGAACTGATTAACGTATTCTGAGTGAAAATAGCCAACCAATAAATTATCCGAGTTGAAATTAGATATTCTGACGCCATCTATGAGAATTTGTCGCAGATAGATTTCCCAACTCCTCAATGAGACAACTATACAGGGTGTTCATTAAACGAAAAAACGAGATACGTCAAAAGATTTGTCAAGGGGGATAACTTTTTAACCAAAAACTACTTCATCCTCGGCCCCCCAGGGTTATTCAAAATTTTAAATGACAAGGGGTATCGAGTAATAGCTTGTTTGAAAGGTCTTTCGACGTCGTTTATTTCTGACGTTTGATTTTATAAAATCAGTGGATTCGTTTTCGCGAAAATATCACTTTTTATTTCAACAATTATTCAAAATGTTGCCCAACAGGGTTTTCCAAATCTACAATTCGTTTATAATTTAAAACGGAAAGTACCAACATGAACAGGAATTCGGAAGATTAGACAACCAAATAACAACCCGAATTTTTTCCGCATTATTTTCATCAACACATGTATCCTGGCTGGGTAAGATGTATTAACGAGATTTCTCTTCATTTGAAATTCTATTGTATGGGAATTTGTTTGGAATATGACAGGAGTCGACTGTCCACCGTGGACACACTAACCTTTTAAAAGTAGATTTCTAATTATTGTAGAGAGGAAAACACTGCCCTGACAAATTCTCACAATGTAGATGCCTCACTTAATCTGGGATAATTTGGACACCGAAAACCAGTACATCATTAGCTATCTATCTATATCAAAACAAGTAAGTATCAAATTGAATTGCAGTGTTGCAGTTTTTATACAGAAGCAACCGCGTAGGCAAAAGCCTAAATACCAGTGCACTGCGGCTGCTATGAGAAGCTTAAATAAAGCTTGTTGATCCGATTTTTGGACTGCCTAAGCTTAGTAGAACTAGGAAATCGTCCTCAGGTACATTGTTCCACAATCTTGATACCCTAGGACCAGTTATAGACGTTCGAAGTTCGATACGGTTGGAATGGGAGGCCAAAGTTAGGGTGAGGAGGAAAGTTTTTTTTAGCCCTAAACAAATAGCCTAGCCTTGACGAGGTGTATTCGTGTCAGATCAATTCCTCGGGGATCTGGGCTCAGACCAGCCAAAATTGACGGCTCTTTGGTAGAAGTCGGCGATTCATCGATACCAGATGAGCGCCGTGATAGTTGTGTCCCCAAGCAGTGATAACCTCCAGGTCTCTCGTCAGAGAGGAAGTTGTTACCAGTTTTCTTTTCTTCAGCGCACCGAAAAAGATCGGATTGTCACGCTGAATTCCTGCATGTACTGGACATGAGCAAATTTCCAGTTTTCTGGTAAAGAGTCGGTTTCGTAATATATCTGGAAGAGACGCAAAATCCAGCTTTGTTGAGCACCCACCTTATGGGCGTTGGGGAGTGCAACAAAGAGCTTGGCAAGAACTTCAGCCTTAGCCTTTGAGTAGGTTACACGTTGGAGATCGTCACCTTTTTTAATTCAAACTGCAAACTATTAAATTTCTATGTTAACCTACAATCTACCTATTTATTAACATACCTTTAACTATCCTGACTCTAACTTCCATTTTTTGCACCGACATATTGCTAATACCGTTGAGCAAGTCATCTATATCATTATTCGGTTCTTTGTCACCTCTCAACATATCATCTCCATCTAGGAAATTATAATTGGTATCTAGCATGCATTTATCGTCAGCCATAGGTTGCAGATGACCGTCAACTGCTATCGTAGTCACCACTTCTGTGTTTGGATCGTTTGGGTCAAACGGCAATGGATATCCTCTGCATACTTCTAAAGATACTGTTGATCCTACGCTAATGGATTGGAAGAGCCTGACAATTTGATTGTGGGTATAGCCTAGTACGCAAGTATCATTCACGTATACAATTACGTCTCCTGTCTGGAGCTGCCCGTCTAACCATGCTGGGCCTTTTGGAACCACGGATTTTATTTGGAGGAACTCGTCGATCCCATCGTCTCCTCCGACTATTGTGAATCCCAGTCCTGAAATATGCGTCAAAAAGTATTCTACCCCAAGCTAATACCAAAGAGTAATTATAGTAAAAGAAGAAACTTTGGTTCCACACGATCGTAATAAAATAAATCGAATACTCGAATTGATTGATCAAGTTACCTCTTGAAGATTTGACAAGTGATGTCTTCAAACGTTGACCACACAGCTCAGAAGGATCCTTTGTAAATGATGTTCTACTCACACAAGCTGGAAAATGGGGAAAAAAATTGTCTAAAATTTAGTTTGAGAAATTTTAGCTAAACAAAAAATATATTCTGGAAGAATGTTTACCTGACGCTTGAGAAGCAGCCCTTTTGGCTTGTATAACCGGATTTTCATACTGCGTCCTGCGGTTCACATGATCTATGAAATAAGTGCCATAGTGAGGGTCACTTATTTTCTCCCAGCCATAAGGCAGTTCATCATCCATGCAATCTTCCAGGGTTTTCTTTTGGAACTTCGATAAGCGCGGGTCTAACCAGTGAGATGTTCCTGTAGAATGGCTATAAAAAAATTGCATCAAGCAGATTGATTTTGTACTGCCATGCATTCATCTATGTCTATTTGACAAGATGAAGACCTCAATACACTAATTCGTTATACATGCTAGTCATAAAGATGGGACTCGCCAAATTCAAAAATGTTATACAATGCAGAAAAAGTGTAGGCATGAAGACTTTTCGCTGTTTGTTCATAAAGTCTCTGATGATGAACCAATATTTCACAGGTTGATACTTTAGGTATTTCTAAGGCAAAAAGTTCATATAAGCCTAGATTCATGTAGTTTTCATTTTTGAGATACAGGGTCTTGAATATTTCTATAATAAGGACAAGACATGAATATTGTTCAAATAATGTTACTGAGGGATAGAATTACTCTCCTGGTACACCACATACAATTTTCAATGTCGACTAACTTCATCAAATTTTCAATATAGAATCTCTGAATTTCACGTCAATTATTCAAACGATTTTTTCTCCAGAAGGAATAGTCTGACAAAAATTGTTCAAGAGAGATGACTCATGCAAGATTCAATAGCCTATTCGAAAATATGAGAAAGGTTCAAAAAATCTTTGGTGTACAAAAAATATGTTCCTCTGTAATAGCCAAAATTTCCCAGTTCGTCTGCCAATGGGTAGTTTCAGGCGCGAAAATTTCATATACATTGTGATGCATGTACAAAATTTCAAGTTAGTACCTTAATCCACTCTGAACATTTATTCTTTCCTATATCAAAATTGTAACAGCAACATCCTGTATCTCAAAAAATGAAATACTGGACATTTATTAAGGATCACAATACTGACTACTAATCAGTAGAACTGCAAAAATATTGAATAACAGTACAAGATTTATTTGTGAACAAGAATGGAATTTACACTATGAGTTAAAAACTATCCACCAATTATTACACTAAATGCTCTTCCAAATACTGTTCACACAAACAATGTAATCTATTTATAGCATCAATGACTGTTTATAATCAGTGTGTGTGTTTGTGTACAGCAAATATACAAAATCAAATTCAATGCAACTACATATTTATGAACAAAAAGGAATGCATATTTATGGAGACTTCCACAAAATGTTGGACTGCTACTATTACAGATGATTAATAATAATAATAATAATCATTATTCAAATTATCATATTTTGAATACAGAATAATACCCTTTTTTAATTTTTGGTTTGTATAAATGTGTAATATAAATAGGTGTTTAATTAGTAGCATGATCCTGAAAGTGCAAGAAATTTATGCTGCTTTTTGCTGTTTGTTAAATTCTTATAGCAGAATGAAAACTACAATTAAATTATAAATTCTATTAATATTCTAGAACAAAGATCCATCCCTTCAAAATCAAACTTAGAGATTTGATTATAAAAAGGCCAGAGGAGCTGGCATAAAAAGGATCATCACAAAATGGCCCAGAACTTGCTTTAGGAGAAAAGCATACTATAAAGCTATTAAATTACTTGGTCTGAACCAAGTCAAGTCAAAGAATTGCAGCTGTGGTGTAAAACCACATTGTAATACTGCCTTTTTATATTTTAATTTTCCCTTTTATCTTTCAGAGAAATACTAAAAAACAAAAACCTCAAGACAAAGTAAACAAAATGCAGAAAAAGTCAGAAAGAAATGTCAATAATGAGCTTTTGGCAGTTCTGCAAAGAAAACCTCTTGTGTAAGGGAGATTTCATTTACTTCTTCCCAAACCAAAATTGATCCCACCAAGCAGTTTTTATTTGTACTTCTTTTGTTACTTCCAAAATTCAATGTTCAGGATGGTCATAACATGGTAGCAATTTTATTAGGTAAGATAAGTTAAATATTTCAAGAAATATAGCTTTTGAATGCCTTACAAATGTTCGTCTCTTGTAATAAGGGCTAAAAATTGTATTAAGACCAAATGTTCTAAAAATACCAAAATAGGTTATAATTTTAACTCAGCTGCTGAATTCTACACTGAAAAACGTATTCCCAGCAGTTGCAAGACTGTTAAATATTTAGTAAACATCGAAAACTCCTAGAAAGTGAGAATGCAGTCGTTAAAAGAAAAATATATTCCCTAATAAAGAAAAATACGATTTTGAAGAGAGGCAGAAAGAAAAATCCAACTGGCAACTAATGCCAGAACAGTACATACTGATTAATGTTAATTAACATCCGTCTGAAAAAAGCTAAACATGACTTTTGTTTTACTGTTACACTTGCACATCAAATCGTACTATTCAATCATATGAGCATCTGGTAAATATAAATGAATTACATGTACTGCTACCAATCAAGCATAAGTACTTACTCGATAAAATACACCTCTCCACTTTCTGTGTAAGCTTTTTCCCATTTTGGAGGCAAGGGACCAAGGGAATCTTCATTATCATTGTTATTTGAGTGACTGAAGTTATCTTTTTCCTCCTCAAAATATGTACTACTGTCTGGAACACTATCATCAGTCTCGACCCTCAAAGGCTGTGATAGAGGTGTTTGTTCACTAGTATGACTCATTTTGCATGCTTTTGATGAGCATTCCACGTTACCAGTTCTCGGTGAACATCACCTACATTTGAATATGAACTTTTTTATGTGTTTTGGGAAATATCTCATTGTAAGCAACATTAAGAGGCGTTTTTGTTTTCTTTATGCTTCTCTCCACACAATACTTCGTCTAGTGCACATATATATGTTCTTCACCACCTTTGTTCTTTCTGCAATTCAGTTAACCTGAATAACAAGATCTCATTTCCAGATTATCAAATGAAAACACTGAATTTAATTTTATGCATTTTCTCATTCCCATCACAAAAAATAATCACATCGCCCAGCTCTCAAGTTTCAGTTGACTTTAAAAACTAGTCGCGCCATCTATCAATTCAATAGCAAACATTTCGGTAATGTCATATCATAAATCACCTTGACAGCTTAAAAAAAAGAATTCCGTAGACAACAAAATTTTCTCCTCCAGTCTCAATATCAAATTTACGGTAATATCATAATTATTTGAGTTTTCAAACAAAAACAGTCTAAAAATCTATCCCTTTTCCCAGGAAGAAGAAAGGTCATTGTCATTTGCTTTATTCGATTGTAGGGCCATCTCCCGGAAAAAATTCACCTTAGTGGTTCACAAGTTAAATTTTCTCCAGTAGATAGCGCTTGTCTTGCGACCCTGGAATGGCCTCAATTTCCATACAATGTTGTCAGCTCTCCAAAGAGTCTTGGGAGTGTATAAAGAACCAAAATATATATATATAGCAGAGTCCTCTACATTTTTGCCTAGGGTTTCGGAAACAGACTACTGCCGCAAGCGATTTGGCAGAGATGTCAAATAACTCCGGACCAGCCGTCTTTAATGAAAAAACGGTTTTGGACCCAAGTTTCTGGTTGTAGATGAAAGAAAGAGAACTAAAAATGGGTGCAAATACAAAATTTCGGGAATATTTCAGTATATAATAAAACATGTGAATGAAATAAAAACTTATTTGATTTCCTACAATCTGCCACCCAATTTTCCACTCCTAAAAACTTTTTCAAAAGTCATGAGAATCCTCTAAAACGTCAAAAATGTTTAGCATTTCTCTCTGCTGACAAGTTACGGATCGGCCTAGGATTTGTGGAGAAACGGACAGACCGACTGAGAGTCCGACGGAAATGAGTGACATGGCTTTTCGTCATCAACAGGTCACATAACGTCCGTTCGTAAGCATGGGAAGTAAAATGGGGCATTTCTGAACTGAATTGTTTCAGGAACCCAAAGAACATATTTTTTGACCGTTTTGTGATTAAAATGTTTTAAATAATGGTATTTTGTTTTGATTTTTTTACGCTACAGATTCATTTTGTACTTGCTAAAAGCTCTTTTATTTAAAAAAGTTAATTTGGATATAAAAAACATACGCTGCAAACAAGTTTCACTAGATTTACATCCAACGCTGCAGACTAACACAAACATATCACTTGCTGATCAGCTGTTCACCTCAGTAGACGTCAAAGCGTGATGGATATTCGCGAAATAGGGTATATTTTGAATGTTTCTATTGAAATATTAAATTGAAACCAAAGCGCCAATCGAAACTGTAAGAATTGTAATTTTAATCTCAAATCACAAAGCGTGAACGCGTCAAATAACGAAGATTGGTATCTAGGAAAAAGAAGCAAAAGTAACTAAAATTCCCCTATAAATTGACGGAAAATCAGATCAAACTCTAATTTGGCAATTTATTGTTGTGAAGTAATTGACAGCAATGTTTATGTTTTCACGGTCCAACTTCTTCAAAGTTAAAAAACTGCTCAATTTATTGGGTCGCATAAAGCGGCTATTGTAGTTATCGGCAGATATAATTCTTCGGTTCATTATACAGAACCATGTAGCACTCTAGCTACGAAATGTACAACTGGCAACTAAGCAGACAGGATTCCGATGTAGGTAATTAAAAATTATTTTATTATGTGTTGGCGACACTGGTATGGTGGACAAGCGGTAAAATTAAAAATAATTTCTGAACAATTATGTAATTAAATTCATTTTTGGTTTCTCATCATTGTAATTTTATTTATTGATCATGTACCTATTGTTCCGTCACGTACACAAAACCTTTTGTTACCTCTGGAACGGATGTAATAGCTATATTTTTTCAAATTTCAAGGCATATCTAAATTGATTTGAGGTATTTTTTTCCTCAAAAACGTTTCATATTGGCATATATAAAAAAGGTAGATTGTTCCATGAGAACATTCACGTTTATTCTCAATGAGAACAAACATACTCCCATTTGCGATGTCTTTTACTTTTGTAGTAAAACTTGTCTGGTCGGCAGGGTTGCCAGATAAGCCGGATAGAATTTCTCCAGGGCAATCCAAAATTGGCCAACTTTTCTAAAAATGAAAAAGATTTTAGCAAAATAGTTTTGATTTTTAGATGCCTGCATGTATGTTTTACGAAAAGCCCATGTTTGTTTGTTCTGTCGCAGCGTGAATGCCATTTGAATAGATATAAAGCATTAAATTTTTGTTTAGTAGTGGCTTGTTTCAGGTGGCTCAAAATGAAATAAAATGGTTGATAGTATAACTCAGGTCTTATTTCCTTCCATAAAAGATTATGCCTCCAAAAATTTCAGAAAATTCTTTATATTTAGAGAAGAATCTCCAAATATGGCAACGCTGCCGGTAGGTCGCTGTAGTACTCGTAGTGTGGACGTGCCAACAAGCTTTTGGAGAGAGCTAGTTTGCCTGAGGCCAAGCAGACAAGGACAGAGAATGACGATATTTTTATTAAATAAAGTTCACAGGAGAGATTTTATCTTGTTCATAAATGGAATTTATGTTTCTCAGACCATTGAAAGCGAGGATGTTTGTTGAACTTTTGTCATGCAACTAGTATTCACCTTTTGACACCTTATTTTCCAGAAGTTTTACAATTCTGATTATTATCTACTCGGTGCATTAAAATCATAAACAGGAACAATTTCTATAATTTCGTGACCTTGTTGAACTTTCAACCAGATGCAACATGTCAAATTCAAATTCAATCTATCGCAGGTTCGTTATGATTCGTGCAGCATCTGTTTTATTTATCTTTTGTTGACATACGATGCGAGATAATTGTTATAAATATGGATAAACACTGAATTAGCACCTTTGTTACATTTAAAATTTAAATTTACCATAGTGACTTTTCGATCTGTCATTTGGTGATACTAGCCATACTAGCGATATGTTGGTAGCAACGCCTGTGGACAGTTTGGCATTTTGTGATGTGAGTATTTGTTAAAAAGTTTTTTTAATAGTATAATGGTACAAATCATAAAAACATAGCTGCCGTTCGGATATTTCTGTAATAAGAGGCCAAAAGTAAACGATAGAAGTAACTGTGCAATGTCCTGGAAGCCAAGAATAGCCTGTATGCGTCTCTTCAAATTTGGTTAAGAGATGAAAATAAAAACTAATGGAATGCAAATAAAAACATTAGAACATATGTGATGTGAAACATAATTTAGTGGTATTAAAATAAATGGAATGACTGTAAACATATAGTGTCGATCTCAGTGAGGCTAAGATTCTGATATCGCTAAAAATCGTTGTAGTGTATGGATGTAGTGATAGCCCAGTATGAAACCCAGGAAAGAAGAGGAAGCTACAGTTAAGAAAGAACCCACTGGAGGCAACATCACTAAAAATGGAGGCATTGTTGGTTCAACTAATACTGGCTCAATGCAGACAGCCTTAGAATGTAAGCCTGAGACTCATACAGAGGACTCTGTAACTACGACTTGTGTGGATACGAACTCTTTACCCCTAAAGCAAGAAGACAGTATAGATGGCGAGTTAACGGGCGATGCATTTGGCCTGGGGCTGCCAACACCTGGAGGAGGGCCTCATCCAGCCCCTCCCGAAGGAGTGCAGCCCCTGGCCAGTAACGTTATCAATAAGCAACCTAATTCGATGGAAGTGCACTACATGCAGCAGCAAAGTCAAATATTTGTGTTCTCTACCATGTTGGCCAACTCTGGGGCTGAAGAGGTATTACAAGGAAGGTACCCCTCGATAATTGCCTACCATTGTGCCCAGCCTGGTACCAAAAAGTACTTAGAAAAGAACCCGCTCAAGGTAAGTCATTTTAATGTTTTTCATTAGTTGTTTTTACCAGTTCATAGTTCTATTTGTGAAAGACGAGGGATTTATGGGAAAATTGAATCAGAATGAAGAACCGGGACCCCAAAATCTTTCTTCACTTTCAGGACTAAGTATAAATAAACTTCATAATAAAAAATTGAATTATGTTTAAAAATCCGATTCTTGGTGCATTCTATGGCCTATTTTGCAGGGGATTCTGCTCACTAGTTTCTTGAAGACTGAGTCTTGGCCAAGAATGTTATTTTTTGTAATAAATAATATAACAAGTAAAATAAAATGCTGTTTGTTATGTAAAACAAACTAAATTGACCAAAAATTTGATATGGAATTAGAATTAACCCCACAGCAGTCTGTTTTAACTTGATTTCAATACCAGCACTGTCCTAAGCAACCTGGGACTCTAGTCCTGAAACCCATGGTTCTCCATTCCCTATTTTTATATATAGCCTTCTTGTAATACTCAATCTGTAATGTGCATGCTTTTGTGATTTTATAATATGAAGTATCTTTTGAATGTTGTTTCCTTTGTGGATATTTCACTAGAATTGTTTTTTATGAACCACAACTTATATTATATACCACTAACCCTATTTCTTGCTAAAACAACATGTTGTGGACTTATGAGTCAAGAACAGTTTATCAGGTTTTTCACTTATATTATTGATAAACAGTGAAGGTTCTTTGACATTTCAAAACTCAAATACCATATTAAGTCTTAACCATTTTTTTTAAATTCATTTATTTTTAAATGACAATGTTTTTATTGATTCCTAAAAGATTCAAATATTGTGATTTGTAATGTTTTTGGAATGACAGATTCAGTTTTAGTTGGTGTGTTTTAGCCTCTGTCTATGCAATAAATATCAGGAAGTACTCAAATAACATTTGACTCCAGTTTCATTCAGTAAATACAAAAAACACTAATTCTAGAACTAATGTCTCATAGATGTCACTTAGCATAACATTACCAGTTGATGGTTATATTATATACCACTAATCCTATTTCTTGCTAAAACAACATGTTGTGGACTTATGAGTCAGGAACAGTTTATCAGGTTTTTCACTTATATTACTGATAAACTGTAAAGGTTCTTTGACATTTCAAAACTCAAATACCATATTAAGTCTTAACCATTCTTTTTTAAATTCGTTTATTTTTAAATGACAGTGTTTTTATTGATTCCTAAAAGATTCAAATAGTGTGATTTGTAATGTTTTTGGAATGACAGATTCAGTTTTAGTTGGTTTATTTTAGCTTCTGTCTATGCAATAATAAATATCAGGAAGTACTCAAATAACATTTGACTCCAGTTTCATTCAGTAAATACAAAAAACACTAATTCTAGAACTAATGTCTCATAGATGTCACTTAGAATAACATTAAAAGTTGAGGGTTATATTATATACCGCTAATCCTATTTCTTGCTAAAACAATATGTTGTGGACTTATGAGTCAAGAACAGTTTTTCAGGTTTTTCACTTATATTATTGATAAACTGTGAAGGTTCTTTGACATTTCAAATGACAATGTTTTTATTGATTCCTAAAAGATTCAAACAGTGTGATTTGTAATGTTTTTGGAATGACAGATTCAGTTTTAGTTGGTGTGTTTTAGCTTCTGTCTATGCAATAAATATCAGGAAGTACTCAAATAACATTTGACTCCAGTTTCATTCAGTAAATACAAAAAACACTAATTCTAGAACTAATGTCTCATAGATGTCACTTAGAATAACATTACCAGTTGAGGGATATTCTAAATATGACAAAAACTGAGTCAGCTATATTTAAAACTAAGGGATAGGGCTTAAAAAATTCTTAAGCATCAATTTGGAATTCTGAAGCATCTGTTTTCTTTATCTTCTGTGGAGATACTTGTATGAATAAGGATAAATGCTGAATTAGCATTAGTATATGAAATTCCAATTTTAGCATAGGGACTTACTGACTCATATCACGAAGTGATACTGTTGCAAGTTATTGTTGCCTTTTTAACTGAGTCTTATTTTACTGTTCTGCAAAAAAAATCATTTAAAAAAAATTGTGATCTATGAAAACCAGCTGAACTGTATTATTGGCATTATACAAAGTGGATGTCAAAAGATCAAGTACAATAACTGCATTCAGCTATTTATAAAATTTTCAAGCATAGCAGTCACAACCAAAACAAAATCTAGCTGAATTAATTTTATCAACATCTCTCTTAAAGTAGCGTAAGAATTCCACTGATTTTACGTTCCACGCCAGTGGCGAGGAAGTATTTTAATCGCGAAAAATTTAAAAAATGAGACTGTGTGTTTTTGGATGTTATACATCAGGAAAAACCATGTCACTCATTTCTATTGGTCTGTCTGTCTGTCCTTGGCCCATCTATAACTTGAAAAGTATTGCTTGGATTTTGTTGACATTTGCACACAAGGTTTCTACTGTGCCAAGGACAAAAAGCTTTGTAATGGTGGCAAGCAAAAATGGCAAAATTAAAATCGTCTTTGGGCGTTTCAGAAAAAAAATCCTCAGGTTGAAATTTGGGGCTTGGGGTTGTAGGGGGTGGAGTAGAGTATACGAACATTTTTTGATCTTAGCATATTTATACGCTCCCAAACCGGGTAATTAGCCATATTTCACACATCATAGATTTGTTCATACATTTGCCTTTAAAACAGTATTATAGTGAAATGTTTCCGATCCGCATACTCACCGCCCGGCGACCCAGTCTGGCTGAATAATCTATCTGTACTGCCTAATGCAGCATAAAAAATATGTACACGAACCATGATCGAAATGAACGATGCTGCGCAGATGTGGAAGGAGTCAACATTGCCAGATGGATAGTAATTGCTGGTAGTGCAGAGAAAGAACTGATTTTTTTCTTAGAGGATTTAAATTGCGCTGAACCTAATCCTTTATGAACTGATGACTTTGTGTGGGAAGTGCAGGGTCAACCTACTTGACGCCATTTTTTGTGTTTAAACACAGTGAGTCACCTGTCATACAGAACCAATTGCGCAACTTTCTTTTGAAGAGCGGTTGGTGGCAAATTTGACTAGAGGGACCCAACCATCAAATTCTCAAATATTGTATACAAAATAGTATTAAATATGCAAATTTCATCTTGGTTCTGGTGGGACCCTTTTGAGAGCGCCTATGATTTCAAAGCAAACCTACTCATTGAATGCAACTTCTGATTGATATTTATCCTGCGGTTGGTTACTTCTGACTTTTTGTGCTTATTTTACATACGTTTTGTAAGAATTATTATCATATTCATTTCAGATTTCAGAATTATTTTAGGCAATTTGTCATGATTTCTGAGTTGTATTTTTTGTTTCTCTAACTTGAGTTCCATGATGATGAACTCTCCTCAGCACAGGTGATTGGTCCAAATTTTATTAGCACTATGATCTACAATAAATTTTCATTTTAATTGGTCCTCCTAAAAGTGTTACTAATCTTTGTTTTTTACTGATATCTATGTACAATGTGTTTCCTATAATATCCAACACAGAGCAGGGTCATATAGAGAAACCTAAAATATTGTAAGTTTAGGCTGCTTACCTATATGCTAAGTTACACCCCTGAGAAGTTGATAGGCTGGGTCAAATTAAAAAAAATATATCTCGGTTAATCTTGAAATTAAAAAAGGAAAATTTGGTAAACATTTTGAGTGCATTAATTGACAGTAATTAAATTTCAGTTGAAGCATTTTACAGGGTTCAAGGCGGATGATGCACCCTTAAAATGAGAGCGATGTACCCTTAAAATGAGAGCGATGTATTCAATCTCTTTATTCCTGACTTTTTTGTTTGATTGAAAGGAAATCCATCCATGACAGAAACACATTTTTATTTGACTATAAAGAATAGTTTCATCATAGTTAAAATAAATTGTTTCGTATTTAACACATTTGATTGAAAGCTGGTTGCGTAGAGGAAAGCAGCGGAATCATACGTCGGCTATTGAGGGGTAGTGTGCCGTTTGGTGTCGTCTTATATCAAATGCAGTTATTGCATCGTCTTTTCTGTGACGCATGACTGTAGCAAATTGAATCTACCTCATTGCTTGGTGATCCCTTCTTCAATCTGACATAAACTGAATGCAAGACTTGTGGTTTTCTGTCTTTTCCGGCAATTCCCCATCTTTGTAGTTATTTTTATACAAATTCCATGCGTTTATAACCATCATATAAATAAAATGGTAGAAAAACCTCATGTAGAGAACGAATATATATTCTGTAATATGCTACTTGGTCCTTTGAGAGGTGTCTATACCGCCCATAATTTATTATAGATATCAAAAGCTTTTTATTCACCTTGTTCTATCTTTCCGCTGATGTGAGTGGTTCAGCGGGTATTTGGTAGTGTACCAAGCTTTGTTGTTGAACCACTTTATAGCCATACTTTCGATGCCCTCTATAACAGGTTGCTTCTGCTCTTGAGTAGAATTCCATCATCCAAATCATACATACTGTCCAAGAGTGTAGAAGAAGAGAAATAAGAGTAAAAACGTTAAATAATTGAAATTTACACAGAAATATAGTGGTAATTTTTCAAGTCCGCTAATGTATTGAAAAATTCAGTCACATTTTCTGGGTGCATCATCCCTTTTCAATCCCAATTTAACTTTAATCACTGTCGATTAATGCTCTCTGATACTCTCAAAGCATGCACCAAGTTTGCCGTTTCAAGTTCAAGAATTACTGTGATGTCATTTTTTTTCGAAATCTGAAAACCAAATTTTACGGCACTTACGGCGTTAAAATGCAATATTATGGATTCCCCTACATACCGCTGCTTTGTGTCGATTCTTATGTGAAAAACCAGGAATTTTTCAGATTCACTGTGAATGGATTTTTTAAAAACAATCCCGATAATTCTGGTGCCTAGATTCGTAGTCCAACGTCAGATTGACGTTAAGATCCATGCGTGGCCGTAATCGATTCATCCTCTACCTCAAACTTGAACTCACGTCACTGTATGCTTTTTTAGCCTTATATTCTTTTAAATCAAGTTGTAGAACAATAAAACGAGGACCTTAAGAATCTACTCATCTTGTCTTTTGTTCCGAGATTACCCCCATTTACCACCTTATTTCACCGGATTATGACGTTTGCTTTAGGTGACCCAGTTCAACCGTCAAACTCCAGGACAATGGTTGAACAACCTGGCGATGATGAAGCACAAAAGTTGCACTCGCAGTCCAGGTCTAGGTCCAAAACCGACTCCCCCTGCATTGGACAACTTTCTCGGTCCTGACAGCCTGGACGACATGGTGGGCCTAGATGATGCTGGCATACCATGGGATCAGAAAAATAATCATCCTTTGGAAGGCCTCGATGCCGCGATCTCGAATGGCCTTCCAGATGTTGTGCCTGACATGGACGCATGTAGTCCTTCTTTAGCTAATGTTCAGCCCTCTTTACAGGTAAGTGATCCCTAGTACAAGTGCACTGCACGCCACATGAAAAGAACCAGTATATTTCTCACTAGCATTCAATATATGAGGCAGAATTTCTACCAGGGCTGATAAAAATCATGATTTTTTGTTCCTGTCAGATTTTTGTGATTATAAAGATCAAATAAATCATGATTTTCCACGTGGGATGTTGAATACCACCAATAAGGGTTATATCATTTCGGGTATCAGTATTTTCGGAACTCAAATATGTACTCTGCACTTCCACGCTACGCTATTATCAGTTCAAAAAGGATTATGTTCGACCGAATTTAGCGCCTTTGAGCTAGTTACTGAACATGTATAACTAAAAAAAATGAATGGGCCAAGTCGGCCAAATAGGCCCATATACAATTAGTGCATAGTCTATAGTCCCCATCCATTTGGCAATGCTAACGCTAGTTTCTTCCCTGCCCTAAGTATCGATCATCTGGCAACGCTGCGGGACCACACTAGGCAAACGCGTCATAGACCCCAGCCAGGATACTATAACGCGTTGCCGGCGATGTTGTGTGTATGAAAGTTGTTGTGTCTCGTTTAAAAATATTTCTCTAAGGGCAAATCTTTGATGTGTGAAATATAGGTTGGAAGCGTATAAATATACTGGAGATATAAATCTCCTCAACCCCCGATTTTTCCTCCTACACAGTTTTTTCTGAAAATGATCAGGAGCCCCTGAAATGTCAAAAAACGAAGTTTGAGCGATATTTATTAGTTTCGTGCTTTGGCCCATAGCTCCGCTGCCACTGGACCGATTCTCAAACACTTCAATGCTTCTTCAACTTTGGCATAGTAGCAACTTTTTGTGAAAATTCCATCCAAATCCGAGCAGTACTTTCCAATTTATAGGCGGACATGTCGTATATATTTATTATTATCAAAGGTCAAAAAAAAAACGAACGCCACTAGAACCGATTCTCAAAAACTTCAAAGCTCTTTCATCCTTGGCATAGTAGTAACTTTGTGTGAACACCAGTTGTTCACTACTGTGGCTTGCTCTGCATCTGATCTGATCCGATCGAAATGACTATGGTTATATAAATTTGATTAGTATATTTACCGGATTTCCACATTCATTTTCTCAGCATGATCGTCTTGATTTAGATTTGTTTGGTGTTTTGTTTTACATCAAGGATAATACTGTGAATAAATAGTTATTGGGTAGATAAGATATGCCACACAGGCTGTGAGATACGTAACGTACATATTTGTTGTGATTCTGATTGCACATTTGATATTAATTTGTTGTTGCATTAAAATATCCACGAATTTATTTTTATTTATTATTTTTTCGGCTACTGGTTTTTACTAATTTTTTCCTGAAATGTTTGTATTTTTCATAATGCGGTAAATCACAAACACATACCAAACCGTCCCTAAAATCGACAAAAACGGCGATGCAAACGTCGATAAACGAAAAGACTTGATGTATAAATTCATTAGACGAAGCGAAAATCAAGTAGAAATACTTAGGTCCCCATCTTGAATAAATCTTATATTTTTTCTCTAGTTTGAGAGGCATTTCACAAAAAATGAACCATAATCGTTAGATCCGTTAATTCAAAAACGCTTTGAGCCATAGACGTAAAATCAGGCCTTATAAACGATCCCTTTTTGCCTTAGATACATGAATGCCTACGAGGGTTGTCTTTTAAGTTTTGTATATAGAAACATAGTCTCGTTTGCTGGCAGATCCAAAACGGCATTTTTGAATGCGTCAACCGCTTCTTCTGGTGACTGGAACCCTTGACGACGCAGTCTGTTTTTAATTTTCGGGAAAGTAAAGAAATCGTTAGGACTTAGATCGGGACTATATGGAGCATGGTCCAATAATTCCACGATTTCTTCCGTTGAATACTGCCTTGTTTTTTGGGCTGTGTGCGAGCTTGCATTGTCTTGGTGGAGGATGATTCTTCTTTCGGGGTTGTTTTTTCGAAGCTCGGTGACGACTTTTGGCAAACAAATGGTGGTATACCAATCCGCAGTAACAGTTCTTTGCTCATTAAGAGGAATTGTTGCAATATGACCCGCTTTTGACACAAATGTCGCGACCATCTTCTTCGAAACACTTCGAGAACGGATTACTTTTGTTGGCTTTTCTTCACCTTGGAACACCCAAATAGCCGACTGTCTTTTATTTTCTGGTTCATAACAGTAAAACCACGATTCATCACTACTAACAATGCTTTACACATTTTTTGAGTTTCCGGAATTGAAGCGTTTTTTGACACCAATTAACGCTGGATGCTTTCTGCTATTCAGTCTCTGAAAGTTGTAATAAATTGTGGCGCGAAAATGTTCTCGGTTGAGTTCCATTTTTCTAATGACTTGGTGACACTGTAGTGAGAACACTGCACGTATTTTTGTCAAACTTTGAATATAAGTTTACTAAAGAGTGAGGTTAAGATTTAGTACTGACGTTCGATCCGCGCGGCCTACTATGTTTCTATATGCAAAACTTAAAATACATCCCTCGTATTATTTTGTTTGTTTTAGGGCGTTAAAGTGCCTGACGAGAATTTGACCCCGCAACAGCGGCAGCATCGCGAAGAACAACTGGCGACGATACGCAAGATGCAGCAGATGCTGTTCCCCGAGAGTCAGAGCATGGAGGGGGGTCCCGGTACCGGCCAGGGGCAGAACCCCGCGGGCCCGGGCAGTGCAATCGGAGATCCGGGAGGCGGGCCACCCGGTAGCGGACCTCCTCCCGCAGGCAATGTTGACTGGCAGAAACTGCACCAGTTCTACGATAAACAAGGGAAGCAAGGACTCCAGCAACCTGGGGGACCCCCGCCCCCGCCTGGAGGAGGGCCACCTTTAGTTCCAGTCGGGCCGGTGAGTTGATACGAAATGAAAGTTGTGGAGCAAAATGTTGATTTTGATATAAAGAATGTACGGTATATGATTTTAAAGATGTATAGCGTGTTCCCTGAAACTTTTCGGAACCTACCATTGGTCCGTGTGAAAAATGGAATATTTGAGTACTTATCCGCAAAGGCATTTTATTCGCTTGCCTGAGTTTTTACTAATAACGCAAAGTAGTAATTGGTTTTAATGTTTTTTTGTTGTCGCTGCAGTCTGGTACAATTTCGTGACCAGCCCGTTCACCCGACTTAAATCCACTCGATTTTTTTATTAAAAGGGAGCTAAAAGATAATCACACGGTGTAGATTTTTTTTGATTTTTTTTAAAGCCTATCATTTGAAAAGTACACGACTTATATTTTTTTGACAATTATTATGATTTTGCCTATCCCCTGTTTCCGGCTTGACGACTTCTCGATGAGTTTCAGGAGTTACATTCTTGTGATCTATTTCAGATAAGCGGTGGTAGTGTTGGAGGCAACGGTCCTGGTTCAAATATGCCTCCAGGACGTGGAGGCAGTGGTGCTGCTTCTGGTAATGCCCCAGGGGGTAACCGCTTGCAAGGGCCTCCTCCCCCCTATCATCAGACACAACGATCAGCTAGCGTTCCGATAGCGTTACAGGTTAGTTTTTGGTTCGATTCTTCACATCTTCATTTATTTATAATTCCGAACAGGTTACACAACGAAAATATTATTTCTTCAACTTGATTTCTTGACAAAATTTGAAGGTTGTCATCAGGAAATCCCTCCCTAACTTCCTATAGAACCCAGAAGCCACCATTTAAGGCGTATTGATAGATGTAGGATATTATTATAACTTGTAATGTTAACTCGTTCATGGTCGCCAATGGTGAACATGGATTTGATCTTGACAGTGACCTTGAAGGTTATAGCCAAAGTCAAGCCATTTTTAAGTGAAACATATATGGTTTATTTTGGCTGACTGAGCTGTAATGGGCCTTGCTGTAACTGGTTGGGCAGAAATCCTCCTCTACATATCCATGTACTATGCACAGACAGAAGGCCGGACTCCTCTCGTATTGATAACATTTCCCCATATCCCCCGTTCCCAGTAACTTAAAAAAAAACCACAACCTTTTAGTCATTACTTTACAAATCCTTATAACTAACACCCTCCAAGTTTGCCATGATCAAGGCAGAAAATGTTCTGATGTTGCGTTTTCGAAACGCTCAAAGACTACGTGAAAGTAGATGTTTCGCTTTGTCCATTTTCCCGGTGAAAAGTAGGATATACGACTTTTAAATATTGACCATTACTTTCAAGATCCGTGTTCACCATTGGCCAGTCTGGGAGAAATCATAGCAACAGTGTTTTACTTTTTCTCTGGTAACGGTATTTTAAGACTTATGTTGTCCTTCCACGTAATTTAATAACCCCTGGGTTTCTGGGTTTCGATTGAGACCTTTGACCGCCATGAAATTTTAACAAATTTAGCCTAAAGCCATTTTTCATAAGTTGGTTTTTTGAATATACTTAACTCATTTAATTTTTTCCTTTATCGATGAACAGAGCCCGAATCCCGCGTCGCCGAACAACCCCACGTCGAATCTGTCGTTGCCTTCCCCAAGAGCATCGTCTTCTTCGGCACTCAACTCTCCTGCAGACCCCAACAGACCACCGCCCTTTGGTCTACAAAGGCACGTCAGCACCGGACAGAGTCCGACGTCACAGGTAAATACCCATTTGTTGTAAATAGGAAATTACAACGCAATAGAGGAGACAACAACATAAGGTCCGCAGGAGAAGTTAAACATAAGCCTAGCAACTTCCCGGATCGCCAGGGATGGACCAGCCGTATTGTTAATTTTGCTTACATCTATGCTTAATGATTGTTCGAAAATATTTTTGGAAAGCCTATTCCATTAGCTGAACAAATGTGCTTTGGTTTGATAGAGATACAACTGACGGTTTTTGTGAAAAACAGTCTTCTTCCATTGCACTTCCAACAATTATGATTTTCCAGAGGTTTACCGGATCGCTGATGACGAATCATGAAAATCAAGACTGTTTTCATCAAAAACGGCTCATTTTTGTCGAAATCAAACAATACATCTACTCAGTCCAGTTTTCAAAAAATATCAAGACTCCGTAGGGCGATTTAAACAGTTTTTGATTGTTTTCTATGGCCACCATTCTGCCATCATCAGACCTAAACTGATTACGATGCTGACTAGTTTTTCAGTTAAGTCCCTTAAAGCAACTGAATCGGTATTTTGAAAATCGTCAGTGGGCAAAGTAGCCTTAGATACAAAGGATAAAAGTTTTGTAATATGATTTTACTGCTTGTTGAGACATGTCCATGAGTGCATAGTAGCCGCCAGCAGTACGTCTGTTGATTTAGTTGTTCATTCGTATTGACAGTGTAAAATGCGGACTATGGCATCGTGGTCACGTAGTGAGATAAGGGCAGTTTTTACGGTATAACTTTACGCGTGGTTTAGGCGTAGACCAATGAAATGATGCATTAAAGAATGATTGTCCTCATCGTACGACTAAAGTCAGGTGGTACATATAATTCCAAAGAGGCAATTTCACGCTGGAGGTTGCTGGGATGGAAGTAACACCGCGAACTTCAGTACCAGAGGAAAACATTACTGCTTTGAGGAAAATGCTTGACGAAGACCGGAGAGTGACATACCAACAGATAGAGGAGACCTTACATCTTCATGCACCAGCAATTCAGTCAATTCTGTATGACTGTTAACACGTAAGGAAACTTTGCTCTAAGGACTGGTTTTGGCGGATGGAGAAGTGTATATTGAATATGGTGGAAATTAATTTGGAATTTATAAAAACCATCCCTGAAAGTTTTGCCTCATTTTTTAGAAACATATTTAAAATTAAATGTACTGAATTTATTTAATTTCCTCCTTTAATAAACAGAGTCCGAACCCCGCGTCGCCGAACAACCCCACGTCGAATCTTTCGTTGCCATCCCCAAGAGCATCGTCTTCTTCGGCTCTCAACTCCCCTGCAGATCCCAACAGACCACCGCCCTTTGGTCTGCAAAGGCATGTCAGCACAGGACAGAGTCCGACGTCACAGGTAAATACCCATTTGTTGCTAAGAAAACAATTACAATTTACGTATTGAATGAGGAAGATAGGCGAAAGGCAGATCTACAACATACTAAAAGCTGACCCTAGTAAAAGTTTCACTGTTTTTGACATATTAATTTTATTTTGTCTTTTAAGAAAAATGTTCTTGTTTGATCTATCATTTGTTGCTGATTATGCAGTAGCAGTCTTGTACATTTTTATTTCACTGCTGAATACCAAAATTAAGTAAAATGGTTGTCTAAAATAAAAATTTCGAAGAAGTTCGTTTGTCAAGTTTACCTACCTGTATTCAGGGTGACTTCGAAGTTGAGTCATTTATTTTAACAGTGAGTAGATCTGATCAAAAGAAATGTTTTTTCCTTTAACATTGTTCTGGTAAAATTAAAGTAACAAAGTTATAGCCGTATAGAAGTTTGAGTACCGCCCTGTCTCAATAATAATATTATGTGCTCGTGTATGGCAACAACGGATATAATCCGCCTTATCGGTTCATCGCATCGGAAACAAAAAGCGAAAGAATTTGAAACGCTTATCGCGATGTTTTTACTACAATTTTATTCAGTCAATGTGTCAGTCGGTAACGCGTGAGTGAATAGTGGTGTTTGTTGCGTGCCTCAAACGAAATAAAAAATTGCACATGTTTACAAAAATGCTGAACTTGTAACATGATTCTTATTTACGGGGGGGGGAGTCTTTACAAAATGCTGCCGCTGCTTCACGGATTTATGCGGATCGGTTTCCCAATCGAGTGCAACCAACCCCTCGTGCCTTTGTTAATGTAGTACAAAGGGCTCGTGAATCAGGTGACTTGAGACCTCACAGGGGAGGGCATGCCGGTGCTCCAAGACCGCTTGATCAAATACAGGTCCGCACTGAAATACTTGTCGGGAGGATACTTTATAAAACAATTGCTTATCAGGTTTAAATAATTCTTTCTTCATCCAGGACTCGCCTACAGCGTCTTCGAGACATAACCACAGTAATCCTGGCACGCCACTGTCTTCGCACCTCTCCCCAAGTGTAACGAGTAGTACCACTGAGCCCACTTCTACTCATCAGTCTTCAGGTAAGTATTTTCCAATATCAAAACTTTCAGATAAAAAAAAAAACAACAACTCTTTGGGATTTTGCCGTGACATTTGTCTTACTACGAACAATAAACAAGTGCACAATATACAGGGTGCGGCAGCGTAACTTCCTTTTTTCAAAACTTACAACCTGTTGTATAAATCTGAATATTTTTCTGCGCGGTGTTCCATCCTGGTATACCTTATCCTTGCTACATATTTAATGTGTTCTCTTTTATTTACAGTAGACGGCATATTCGGCCGGACATTGCAATCCATGGCACAACAGAAGCAACAAATCAGCACATCAACGGCCACATGTACAACAACCCCGACCAGCGGAGCGGTTAAAGAGCCTAACTTGATGCCGGTACCTTCTCCGCAGCAGATCCAATATCTCAACACCTTCGAAGGGCAAGAGTTGATCATACAGAAACAGCCGAATACAAGTTTGAAAGATGGAAATATCATCTCGCCGCCGTAAGTAGATTCACTGTTCGTACAGTCGACAGTAAACACTAGAGGCGCTGGGCTTGTTTGTAGCGATTTTTGTTGTTGTTTTTTTGTGTTTTGTCAAGAGCCAAGGTTTCTTTGTGGTTTAAGGCATTTTCAGAAGGAACAGAGTCGCAATTAGACCCCCAAATACGAGTTATGTTTTGTACCTTAAGTTAGTTGTTTTGGTTTGGGTGCTACCCGGTCCATTTTCTAATGAGATTTTAACCTTCAGTGGTTTTATACCATCGGACCACGTGCATTAATGCATGTCCTGAGGAAGTTTGTTCAATATCTGCTTCTTTTTAGTGGGAAGGCCATTCACGCTTCTCCAGCTTTTTTTGTAGCTGCCTTGTAGCTTTTTTGCCGCCGATTTTGCTGGAAGCCACTTCTTCCCCTTGACAAGATTTGAGCATTCATTCAGACATTTGATAAGCTTAACAACATTATTTTTAACCGAGTTGAAAATGGCCCTTTTTAGGGTCTTTCTGACATTGAATCACAGATAATTAGGAAACGGTCAATTTACCACCTTTTTTGTTAATAATTATCCGTGAAACCTAAAAAACATCGTCCAGAGCGAAAAGACCTCTTACCCTGGTGCACATTGAAATTTGAGATAATACTTCTCTAGAAATAATCATGGTAACTATTTTGAAAATTATATTTTGTACCTTACGTTAGTTGTTTTGGTTTGGGTGCTACCCCGTCCATTTTCTTATGGGATTTTAACCTTCAGCGGTTTTATACCATCGGACCACGGGCATTAATACATGTCCTGAAGAAGTTTGTTCAATATCTGCTTCTTTTTAGTGGTAAGGCCATTCACGCTTCTCCAGCTTTGTTTTGTAGCTGCCTTGTAGCTATTTTGCCGCCGATTTTGCTGGAAGCCACCTCTTCCCCTTGACAAGATTTGAGCATTCATTCAGACATTTGATAAGCTTAACAACATTATTTTTAACCGAGTTGAAAATGGCCCTTTTTAGGGTCTTTCTGACATTGAATCACATATAATTAGGAAACGGTCAATTTACCACCTTTTTTGTTAATAATTATCCGCGAAACCTGAAAAACATCGTCCAGAGCGAAAAGACCTCCTACCCGGGTGCACATTGAAATTTGAGATAATACTTCTCTAGAAATAATCATGGTAACTATTTTGAAAATTATGTTTTGTACCTTACGTTAGTTGTTTTGGTTTGGGTGCTACCCCGTCCATTTTCTTATGGGATTTTAACCTTCAGCGGTTTTATTCCATCGGACCACGTGCATTAATGCATGTCCTGAAGAAGTTTGTTCAATATCTGATTCTTTTTAGTGGAAAGGCCATTCACGCTCCTCCAGCTTTTTTTGTAGCTGCCTTGTAGCTGTTTTGCCGCCGATTTTGCTGGAAACCACCTCTTCCCCTTGACAAGATTTGAGCATTCATTCAGACATTTGATAAGCGTAACAACATTATTTTTAACCGAGTTGAAAATGGCCCTTTTTAGGGTCTTTCTGACATTGAATCACAGATAATTAGGAAACGGTCAATTTACAACCTTTTTTTATCATAATTATCCGTGAAACCTGAAAACATCGTCCAGAGCGAAAAGACCTCCTACCCGGGTGCACACTGAAATTTGAGATAATACTTCTCTAGAAATAATCATGGTAACTATTTTGAAAATTGATATTTTTGAAATTGAAAACTGTCAGTGGTGCAGATTGACACATATTCTTACTGAATCAGATTTTTAACTCTCTTCTTTCTTCAAAATAAACTAAGTCTAAAATACTATTTGGATTCTTGTAGAGGAGGATTTGAGCATTCATTTAGACACTTGATAAGCTTAACAAACGTAGTTTTTAACCGAGTTTTCAAGCATTGAAAATGGGTCTTTCTGACATTGAATCACTGATAACTCGGAAACAGTCAACTTACCACCTTTTTTGTTCACAATTATCCGAGAAACTTAAAAAAACATCGTCCAGAGCGAAAAGACCACCTACCGTGTGCATATGAAACTTGAGATAACTATTTTAAAAATTAATATTAATGGTGCAGATTGACACCTATTCTTGCCGAATTAGATTTTGAATTTCTTTTCTTTTCAGCGTCTTACCAACATCAATGGACAGTGGTTTTCCAGGCCCAACCCCAGATCTTCCACATGCAAAGGTATCAGGGCCTAACACGCCAACGTCAATGGATGTTGGGACAAGGTTTCCTCCTACCCCTTCAGATGGATGTCGCTTCCAAATTTCCAGTCCCCAGACTCCGACTGCCACTTCAACAGGTAAACTCAATTGCTTAACGGAACTAATTATCATGATATTTAAACATATTCGGACATCTGCTCATGTGTTTTATATGGTATTTATCCGAAAATTGATAACTATAAAAATATGTATAAAAAAGAACCCAAAATTGTAAGAATATATGGAGTGTTCCACTTGATCTTTTCAGTTAGACCAAATCAGCAAAAACAGTAATTATGGATTACTTAACTGCTTTACAGAATAGGATTATTTCCAGGACTCCATTGACCGACCGTATAAAACCATATACAGTAGCTGACAAAAGTTTGGAAACATTCTTAATAATTTTTAAAAAGTGCGCTAATTTTTTATTGTTTATTATTAAGGACGTATTTTATAAATCGTTCCTATTTTTAAAAGTTTTTCTTGTCAGTTGTCTTTCAACATGCTCCCAGAGATGTTCTGTAGGGTTTAGATCCGGGGATTGCGAAGGCCATCTAAGAATATTAACATATTCTAATCATTTTTGAAATCGTCCCCGTGTTCATTTTTAATCTTTGAGAAATTTCAACATTTCTGACACCACTTCTAAATAATTAAATTACTTTGTCTCTTAAATCTTTTGAAAATTCATTTACTTTTGCCACGCAATATGAGAGCATCGCAGAACGAATATATACGGCAAAACTGAAATGTTTCCATACTTTTGTCGTTACAAAAACTGTGCTATTTAAAAAAATGCGTGATTTTATTTTCGGAGAATTCGAATAGTGATAAGATAAACCTTGTGGCTATATCATACATATTTTTATTATGCAGGCGGAAACGCTATCCACCATCTTTGGCCCTTATTAATTTGTTCGACGTCATACCATTTGTAAGCAGCAGCTGACAGCAGCATAACCTTTCAAACATATAAACATGACTTCTACGAGTTCTTTGTTATGACGCACGAGCTTAGTCTTGAATGACTTCTGAAAAGAAAGATTATATAAGTGTATTACTTATTCTTCAGATGTACTGTACTGACATACAAATCTTAATGTCCCTCAGCTGTGGCAAATTTTGTGCTGTCTGCTTTTGGAAATCCATAGTACATGTTTTTTCAGTACAACGAGAACACGATAACTTTTTAGCAGTTTTTGAGAAATACTAGACGAAGACAATTTTAAGCGACGAGCAACATACGGATGACGTTTCTTTGTCTACAATTTGTATGGCGTCACATCATAGCTGACAGTTTTTTCACCGTTTCGTATTAAAAATGAAAAATATCCTTTTTTTTAAATTGGACCTATACGAGGGCGGTTCAATAAGTAACCGTGTTAGAAATGAAGACACAATTTTTTCCAAAAAAAAATCTTTTTATTTTTCTAAATAATCCCCTTTTAGAGAGATATACTTTCCTGCCATTTCAGGATTTACATGAGGATTATTTTTATTACAGGGGATAAGCCTACAAGACTTCCTAATACAGCTGGAGCTCCTGGTCTGAGTCCTCAAACCGCGGTACCTGGAGCGTCCTCTGATCCTTTAAAAACTGATCTCTTCCCTACTCCCAGTCCACACATGATGGACGTACCTCGTTTCGCAGGACCAAACGCCTCCCCTGGTGCTAAGATGGGAGGGGGGTTCGTGAATGTATCTCCTCAAGGAAAGCCTATGGATATGCCTAGCTACGGTTGCGCTAGAGGCGACAATATCCCTTTGAACCCCAACTGCACGAGCGCGATGACAAACAACCCCAAGGTGTCCCATTTCGACCCCATATCCTCTTTGGCTCAGATGAGTCAACAGTTGACGAATAGCGTGGCGAGTTCCTTGAATGGACAAAGCAATCAAGGTCCATCGATGATGAATTTTGGATCTCCTTCCATGCATATGATGGACATGGGCGGGTGTCACGGTATGGGCGATATGGACCAAGGTACCGGTAACATGATGGGTATGCCCATGCAAGGACCCCCACACGGTTTCCATCCCAATTCTCCCATGGGCCCGATCCGCTCCCTTTCTCCTAAACTGCCAGGTGCCTTCCCGAATCCCATGCCTATGCCCAGGATGATGGGACGTCCTCCAGGACCAAACCATTACAATGGAGCCAACGTTCAAGTGAAGCCAAACGCACCAAACACGATACAGTACTTGCCGGCTAAATCTCAAGTAGGTCAACCTCCGGGTCCGAGAGGTCCGCCTAGTTTAGAATTTCTAACTCGATTAGCAACGCCGATGAACATGATGGACCCCAAAATGCAGCCCCAAAATATGCAATACTTCGCAGCGTGCGGTCCCAATAATGGCCCGATGCAGGGCGGACCCATGCCGCCTCACATGGGGCCTATGGACGGGCCGATGTCCCAAGACGGAGGCATGGGACCCATGGGCATGGGAGGCCATCTAGGCAACGGCTCTGGTCCCATGGGTCCGATGGGCGGGAACATGGGCATGCCTGGCCCCGTGCCCGGTCCAGGTGGCATGATGCCGATGATGCGTGGCGGTCCCATGCGCGGCCCCATGGGAATGCGCATGCCCCAGATGGTGTTCAACGGTCCCCCAGGCCCCGGAGGAGACCCGATGTTCGGACCGGGTGGCGCTCCTCAAGGCCCGGGCGGGCAGATGTTCGTCAGTGGTCCGAAAGGCAGCCCCATGGGCATGCCCACCCCCGATGCCACTCAGCCACTGCCCCCTTCGATGGGCCAGAATAGCAGCTTTAAGGGTTCGCCCTTCGTCGGCCCGTCTACGGCTGATCCGAACTACGCGCAGCAGTTCCACAACTTCCAGCAGCAGTTGTACGCGACAGGTACCCGCAGTCAGATGGGCAGTCAAGCGATGGGCCCTGGCCCCGGGCCCCCGCATATGCAACAGCCACCTTACTTCAATCCTAAATAGCAAATATGGTGCTGAGTGCAGAGTGATTGATATGTTAACAATAAAATTCTACATTATATACCCTGTGCTTTAATTTCATATACGGGGTCCGTCAGAAAGAGCGCATGTTTTTCAAATGAGTGTTGCACTCAAAATAAGTATGGGAAAAATGGTGGTACTGTCCCACGACAGACTCGCCATTTTGAAAGTACCGACGTACAGTGAACACACGATGCTCAACGTTACAAACCATCTTGCCAACTGAAACGGCAATTCTCCCACTATCTAACACGCCTTTCGCTACCGACACGGGACCAGCCCACTCGATGCAGTACCCAGTCGAAAAGCATGCGTTCTTTCTGACGGACCCTGTACCTACAATCACCAATCCCAAAATAAAATCCTCTCATTTTTATTATAGCTTTTCCTCTGGTTTCTCGCTATCAGATAAACGTTGCATGTGATATTCATCAGACAAAACATGATCATAGACATTTCTAAACCTGCAGAATGAGATTAAGAATTCACTGTTGTACATCCCGGTACAATCAGCCGATACTCTGTACGAGGGATGTCATTTAAGTTTTGCATATGCAAATAAAACAACACGGTAGGTAGTTTTAAATGACTCTATTGTTTTTCGAAGTATTCTCCACGAAGATTAATACACATGTGCATGCGCGCGAACCAATTTTCGAAGCACTTATTCCACTCGTTTGCTGGCAGATCCAAAACGGCATTTTTGAATGCGTCAACTGCTTCTTCCGGTGACTGGAACCTTTGACCACGTAGTCTGTTTTTAATTTTCGGGCAGTAAAGGAATCGTTAGGACTTAGATCGGGAGTATATGGAGGATGGTCCAATAATTCCACGTTTTCTTCCATTAAATACTGCCTTGTTTTTTGGGCTGTGTGCGAGCTTGCATTGTCTTGGTAGAGGATAATTCGTCTTTCGGGGTTGACTTTTTGAAGCTCGGTGATGACTTTTGGCAAACAAATGGTGGTATACCAATCCGCAGTAACAGTTCTTTGCTCATTAAGAGGAATTGTTGCAATATGACCCGCTATTGACACAAATGTCGCGACTAACTTTTTCGAAACACTTCGGAACGGATGACTTTTGTTGGCTTTTCTTCACCTTGGAACACCCAAACAGCCGACTGTCGTTTATTTTCTGGTTCATAACAGTAAATCCACGACTCATCACCACTAATAATGCTGTACACATTTTTTGAGTTTCTGAAATTGAAACGGTCAAGCGTTTTTTGGCACCAATTAACCCTGGCTGCTTTCTGCTCTTCAGTCAACGAGAAACTAATTTTCTTACTCCTAATTCTTCATGTAAAATTTTTTGAATTGAGGTCTTTGAGATCTTCAAGGACGCCTCAATCTCGCGATATGTCACATGTCTATCTTCAATGATCAGTTTGCGCACAGCATCGACGTTTTCCTGGGGCATTCTTGTTGCGATAATTGTCTCCGAAAGTTGTAATAAATTATGGCGCGAAAATGTTCTCGGTTGAGTTCCATTTTTCTAATCACTTGGTGACACTTAAAAATTCGCTGTAGTGTGAACACTGCACGTATTGTTGTGAAACTTTGAATTTAAGTTTACTAAAGAGTGAGGTTAAGATTCAGTACTGACGTTCGATCCGCGTGGCCTACTATGTTTCTATATGCAAAACTTAAAAGACATCCCTCGTACATGCACATTCACACCACCCTGTAACTCAATCCAAAGTGACGCCAGCGTGTGCGCATGTGCAGACAGACATTCTGGTGCTAAGTTTTGGTTGCATGTCGCCCGGGAATCCCGTGGGTGAAATCGTGAACCAGGAATGAAAAAACAAACGCTTGAACCTCTGGACACAACAAGTCGGCTCCCGGATCTACCAATCGATCGCGCGGTCGAATAGAGACATTACTAACCTGTTGAATGTATCGCGTATACATTATAAGTTTATATCCAGTCCAAACCCAATAAACGTTTCAAGAAAATAAAGTGTTATGTGCGACAAGACGAGCATACACAACTTAATGGTCCTTCTCGAGCGGATTTTGGACTAGAACTGTGGATACGGAACTTAAAGAATCGTAAATGCGAGGCGCCAGAACATAACCGCAACCATGACAACTCAAGGACAACATGACACCCTCCAGCAGTCTAGGGCAGTAAGTTTCCTATTTTCCTACCATTCCCGTAAAAAAGAATAGACGCACATTCGGCGTTGGTTCACCTCGAGAGGAATCGGGGGGAATTTCTTCAATCGTATCAATAATCAATTGTATCGCTAATGCAATCAGTAAAATGACTGAAGACGTACCACTGTCTAGACTCAGACATTTGATCCTCGAGCGGAGACAGATCAAAGCGGCGTTAACAAGGTTCATAACGTACGTAGAACGAGAAATTAAGGTGTTAAAATCGCGTTTGGAACACGTTGAAAAATTACTAGATCAGTTCAATAAAGTTCAGTCGTCTTTGGAGGTTCTAGATGAGTCCGAAATAGAGACAGATGAACGTGAAAACTTTGAAGATAGGTTTTTCAAGGCAATTTCCAGTGCTAAACAATTGATAGGACAACCAAAGACTGGTGGCACCTCGTGCTGACAGTGACCAGACGAAATTTCATTCTCACGCCAGTGGTGGCGGAAGGGGGTTTCCGACCATTCACCTAATCGATTACGATAAATGGCCGCAGTTTCGAGACTTATATCTCACACTTATACACAACGATGATTCAATCGATGAGGTGCGAAAATTCTATTATCTAATTAGTCCTTTAGAAGGAGAAGCGTCAAAGATCTTAGAGTCTATACAGGTTACAATTATCAATTAGCATGGCAACTGATGCCAGTCTAAAAAGCATTACTGATACTGGAAGGAAATGTCCGTTGTTTCATCCGATATTATTGCCAAATACGAGGCTCTGTTAATCTGTTTTATTATTTCTTCATGACAAATTTCAAGAATACAATCCAGTAGATCGTTTTGTATTTCTTTCCAAGTTCCTTTAAATATTGAAGCATTTTTTATGTGTTCGCTTGAGGCTGTATCAAGCTCAGCAGAAAATTAATCAGTCCACGAAGTATTTCCGGGTTTTGGGAGCGCTCGGTTTCGTCGTGGCCCCAATTCAAATTCTCCGCAAAATTTTATATCGAGCACCGAGCGACCAATCAGATATCGTACTTCGCATTAGATCTGTACAACGTGCAGCACATGCTTATGCTTAAATGGCGCATTTGATTTTGTAGAAAGAGACAAAAGCAAGCGCGTGCGGCTTGTGTCGAAGTGCACATACCCTTTTCAAGTGGCCCATGAATAATGTTACGCTGCGGTCGCGATGAAAATGACAAGTACACAATTGGTCGATTATACTGCTTTCTCAATACAAAACGGACTCCACGCTGTGTCTTGCGGGGGCAGCGCTGCCGGTATTGTTTCTATTTGTGTGATAACATGGAAAATAAATAATGATCAAATTACTACTGCTTTTTTCTGTTAAGACAAAAGTTTTGGCAGTTCTGCAGAACTTAAGGGCCAGCCGCCCCTGATAAATGTAAAGACTCTACTCGGTATCTGATTTAGGTATTTGAATTATAATACAATGAGTGCATTCATTATTTTAAGAGAACTTATCAGTAAATAAAACACAGCGGCTGAACTCTACTTTAGCGCAAATTGCAAATATTTCATTTCTTATTTTAAAATGAAAGATTAGAATGTAACATGTACGAAACAATCATTTTTTTCTTTAAGGACGCCTCTGCGTGCTATTGTATAAAACAAGTTGCACTTTGGGTAAAACTGAGGTATAGAATTCCATAAGCCGTTTTTTCTTGTTTACACATAAGAAAACTTCCCACCACGAGTTTATCGAAAACCATTGATTAAAAGAAAAAACACCAAGACATGTCAAAATATTTGTCAAGGGGGACAACTTTTTAACCAAAAACTACTTCACCCTCGGCCTCCCCAGGGTCAATCCTTTAAAAATTTTAAATGAGTACTAGCTTGTTTGAAAAGTCTTTTCAAGTCCTTTGTTTTGACGTTTGAGTTTTCAAAATCAGTCGATTCGTTTTCGAGAAGATTAGTAAAATCTGTATTTATCTTAAAAAGCAAGCAAAAACACACAAAAGTATCATTTTTATTTCAATAAGAATTCAAAATGTTGCCATTTAGGGTTTGAAACATCTACAATTCGTTTTTATTTTTGGATGAAGCCCCTTAAGTTGAAGTTTTGGGTCATTTTGGAATAAATCCTAATACATTACGCAAAATTGTTGCTGCGACTGGTATGTCGATGGCTCTGTACACACAGTGACTAAACTCCAGAAGTTTCATCCATTCAAAATGAAGATATTGCAAGATTTTACTGAAGATGATTTCAATACGCAAGTGGAGTTTTGTGAACAAATGACTGCAGCGATTATTGATAATATGTAAAGAATATCTGCTTCAGTGATGAATGCACATTTTATCTAAATGGATTTGTTAATAAGTGTGTTTTTGTTTTTTATCCGAACAAATTAAGATAAAAATTTTTCTAATTTTCTTGAAAATGGAACGACCGATTTTAAAAAATCAAAATAAAGGACTTCAAAGACCTTATTACTCGATACCCCTTGTCATTTAAAATTTTTAAGGGATGACATTGAGAATTATTTCTTTCAGATATTTCTTATAAATGCAAAAACTTTGATTTATTGATTGTACGCGAAAATATGGTTGAGAACTTCAAAAAGATGTTGAAATATCACAACACAAGACCGCTACACATTTTCTTTAGAAAATGATCATTTCTACAGATTTCTTCATTTTTTTCTAAAAAAAAAAAGAATTTCTGCCTTTATGCGCTAAAGTGTAGTCTTACCAGATATTAAAAATATATTTATTGTTCATATTAAAAGAATAACAATAAATGACTCTTCTCAAAATTACAGGGTGATACAAAATTAAATATAGGTCAGTTCACATATAGATTCGTCTCAAGTCAGCAGGTGAAGTAATCATATTACACTGGGGACACAATTTCTTAGCACCTAGTGTTTGTAACCAACATTCTTCACAATGTACGTGCCAGCAACAAACTGAGATGACAGGTGTGTGGTACCTTTCCATACAAATTAAACATTTATAAATTTCTCTATTTTGTTCCTTACTTTCTAACTCCCTAATTCTATTTTTTAGAACTTCCACAACTGGATCTTCTGAAGCGTTAGCTTCAGAATTTTTATCTTTTTCAGTACACAATCTCTTAGGATCACTACCAATCACAGCCTTGCGAAGAGCCACATCCTCTGGAGCTGGGTCTTCACAAGGTAGTATCACATCATTTTCTGAGTATTGAGGAGACCCGTACATTTGTGTATCATCCCCATCAACATTCAAGTCTTCATCTTCGTCTGCCATGGTGATCGTCGTTCCCAAGTTTGAGACACCTCCTTGCAAAAGGCTAGTAGCTCTTACTCTGGACTGTCCAGCCCATTCATACTCTTCTACTTCAAATGCTTCTACATCAATGTTCTCATCACTTGAGCTACCATTTGCTTCAGACCTTCTCAAACATTTCTCTACATGAGTAGAGAGATCTTCAGTAACTTCTTTATTACAAATTGGACAAGCATCTTCAGGTCTTCTTTTTCTCGTTTTGGTTCTTTGCCGTGTCTGCCTGTTAGATCGTACCTTCTGAAAAGTCTCCCAATTCTTGTCTGGATTAGAGTCTGAACAGCTCGAGCTAGATGGATTGCATTTGCCATTGAGTTTGTGTTTTGATGCTGGCAGTTTGTTGAGCTTTTCAATCTCTGAATGAAGATGCATATCAACTTCGTTTTGTCTTAAGGTTACACTGCATACAGGACAGGAAGTCTGCTCGTTTTGTTTTTTTCTGTTTCTGCAACCCCTGCCACTCTCTTCATTTTGATTATTTTGACAACTGCTTCCTGGGATTTCACTGTCTTCACTGTAGTCCATTATTCTCCGACAAATAAAGGATTTCACAGTTGCAGCACTTCATAAATACTTGTTTACAGTCGTCATTTTTTACATTCTTCTTACGTTTATTCAGATGTTTCAGGATTTTGTTTTGAATCTCCTATTTATCAGGGTTAGCTTTTTATCGATGCCATTAGTTTTATATTCTTCCTATAATTACTTATCGACATAATATGTACATATCTTCACTATCAATTCGCTATATTTGTGCACATGAATACATGTACTTTAATAAATAATAATTTTCAAAACTGCTACCGATTTTCAGTGTATTGTAAACACCGACAAAATTTATGTATTCATAAATTATAAATTGTTCATACAACAAAAAGATAAGAAGTCACAAAACATGTACACTGAAATGCTTGACATAAAAGGCGTATTCTTTAATTCACCGGTTGAGCCACCGGTGCAACCATTTAGCCAATTTGACTTCCTTTAATTACCGTCTGAACGACCGGTTGTACTCCAAACTTGTCGATATAGTTTATAGACAAGTTGGAGTACAACCGGTCGTTCAGACGGAAATTAAAGGAAGTAAAATTGGCTAACTGATTGCGCGCACGATACACATGCACTGAAGATAGGGATATTGCGCATGTGGGCGCAGCTTCGTGACGTCACCCGGAGAGTTATCGGCTCGTGGTTACCAGCGGCAGGATTGTCGTAACGTTACTGCAGTTCACGTGTATCGTGGTTAATTCGGGACCTCGGTTGGCCGCGTGGGTCAGAGTGTCGTGCTACTGATCAGCCGGGCAGCCGAGCCGCGAGTTCGAATCTCGCCTTCGCCATGGATGTTGTGTGTTTGTTTTAGGCAGCAGCGGTGGCCGCAGTAGTAGACTCTTCGGTCTCCTGATCAGTCGCCGTGCGCTGTGCGGGTTCGATTCCCGTCCCAGGAGAAATGTTTCTCTTGGCCATGGATGTTGTGATTGTCCGTAGGTGGTAGATGGTCTCTGACTGTCGAACGCGGAGGTACCACCCGGCGGTTCTCGTAGGTGGAGCCAGAATGTGTGCATGTTGCATGCACACGTGTTCCCTCGCCAGAGTCCGTGTGGCGTCCCCCCTTTCCCATGTATCCCCCATAGCCCCACGGTACCCAATGGGTGCTTAGGCCTTAGGCCTTCGTGGTAGTTGGAGTATAAAAAAAAAAATCCTATATAGTGCGATTTGTTGGTGTTTTTTGGTGGTTTTGTGACTTGGTGTATTAGTTATACATACCTTATATACCCTGTGTGGTTGATAAATTGATAAAAATGCAGTATGCTGTTGTGGGATGAAATTCCGCCAATCAATCTAAGCGGAATCTTTGCAAATACATAAAGTTCCACAGTTTTCCTCAAGTCCCAAACTTTAGCAAAAAATGGCTACATCTCACAAAAAGATAAGACAAAGTCAATATAAAAAGCGCTAGGGTTTGCTAGAAAATGCTCTAGAGGATCTGAAACAACGCTTCATCGTCCAATACCTGTTAACAAGACGTCTTAATCAAGATGTGATAGAAAACTTTTTCGGAGTAATTAGGGCAAAAGATGGTCTTCATGACCTCTAGAGTTTAAGTATAGAATAAGGTCATACATGTTGGGGCGAAACGAAGGCGCATACTCAGAGTACCTATTGCAGCGTAGAGTCGGAGGATACTCCAGACATTCCACAAACCGCATCATTAACGAGAATAAACTGAATGCACCTGAAGTATCAGCTGACTATACCGAGCAAGTTTTAGTGGAAGAAATAGATGAACTCGAGTACGACGGACTGGAAAATCCGTCCAGCCGTTTGGCCTGTAGGTGAAAATATGCACGTTATCCATATCAACCCAAATGACAATCACTCTCCGCGTGACGTCATGCGCGCTGGCGGACGAAAATCGAACAGCGGAGCATACGGCCCTGGATTGCACCGGTGGCTCAAAATTAAAGAATACGCCTAAACATCTACAACAGCACAGAACACTGAACTGACAGATTGACATGTGTTGACAAATTGACATTTGACACCTTTATAGCACTAATTTTGTGCCCAGCGATGCAATATTGTGGGATTTTCCCCCAAATTTCGCGGACTTTCATACCTTTCGGGGAAGGTTCTAGGCATGATTTTCTACGAAATTATCTGGGGAGAAAATAAAACCTTTCGGCATTTTAATCGCATTTCCGCTGCGAAAAAACAAACAGCTTTCGATCACGCTACATGTTTTATCGGTAAATCCATGCAAAGCAGCGAGCAAGAGCCCGGAGTGTGACGCTCCCGAACTGCTCTAACAAATGTGCACGGGAACGCGATGATAAAAACCTAACCTTTTTTTTGAAGTTTTGCTTTGACGTTGACAATTTGTGTCACACTGCCAAGCAATGAAAAATAATGTAAGCACATTTTGCCTTTATCTTCAGAAGCATTGTCAGAGGTCTGCAGTTTTATCGTAAAGCTTATTCTGGGTAGATGTGTCGAATTCATATTTTAGTGTAGACATTCATAATTATTTCCAAAGTGTCTAATTATAGGTGAAGCGAACTACAAGCTGCTATGAACTTGCCTTCTTGGGCTCTCTTGTGATCTCTATTATTCAGGAAGATCTTAAATGTATGTTGTGAGCAGCAGCAGAAATACGTATCGCTCGGGTTACCTATCCTATTTTCTGCTCGAATCCACTTTCCTCCTTTTTGCGGATTTTGCCCATTATTTTCCTACTTTTTGTTATATATATATATATATATATATATATATATATATATTTGTGATTCTGTTTGGAATTTGGGAATTTGAAAATATTTTTCGCTGTGGATCGACCAGTCGCATCATACAGCCGACAGCAAAACATCACCCAAATTTATTTGCTGCCTTTATCGCTCTCCCTCGAACCATAACTGGGATGACCTACTCGAATACCTCGCCGTCCAGATCGACTTCCTGAACATCAATCACCCCGCTTCAGAGGTAGTTCTTCTCGGTGATTTCAATGCCCATAATGAGCTTTGGTTGGGCTCAAATAAGACCGATGCAGCAGGTCGTGCAGTCGAAGCGTTCTCTCTTACTCAAGGGCTGACCCAGCTGGTAACGAGCCCTACTTTTTTCCCCCGCGTCTCGTCACACGCCAGTAGCCTGCTGGATCTCTTTCTGACCACGCATCCTGCCCCTTACAGCACTGCTGTCCTGTCCCCCCTGGGTAACTCAGATCACGGTGTTGTGGAGGTTAGGTTTCGGTCAGAAGCCGCTGTGGCAGCAGAAACTCGCACAGGCCGCAAAACTTGGCATTACGGACATGCCGACTGGGAGGGGCTCAGAGACTTCTTCTCTAGCTTTCCTTGGAGAGATGTCTGTTTCACTGACGCGGATGCGTCGACTGTCTGTTCTTCAATAACCGAAATTATCCACGTCGGAATGGAGGAATACATCCCTCACACAGTGAAAGTTCCTAAACCAGGGTCCAACGGCTGGTTCAACAGATCGTGTGACACTGCTCGCCAGCAGAAGATCAAGGCCCACAGAACCTACTTACAAAACCCCACTGTAGAGAACAGACAAGCCGACGTCGAGTCCAGAAACAAATACAACGAAGCGGTTCGCAATGCCAAAAACCAGCATGATATAAAAGTTAGGCACAGGGTAATGTCGCAGCGCAATGACAGTCGGTCATTCTGGACGCTGGCCAAGCAGATTGAAAAGAACTTTTCACACAGTAGCCTTCCACCACTTACGTGTCAGGATGGAACTATTGTATTCGACTCAAAGGCCAAGGCGGAAGTGCTAGCCAAGATCTTTGCTGCCAACTCCACCATGGACGTCCCCACCAACGCCCAAGTGCCGTCAATTCAAAGGGTTCCCCACACTATGCGGGAGGTAACATTCAGGCATAAGACCGTAAGACGAGTGCTCTTGTCGCTCGACATCAACAAAGCTTCTGGTCCGGACTTGATTCCTGCCATTGTACTGAAGAGATGTGCAGCGGAGCTTGCTCCAGTTCTTTCGCGTCTCTTCCAGATATCTTATGAATCCGGCACCTTCCCAGAAAACTGGAAATTTGCTCATGTACAACCCATCCCAAAAAAAGGATCTAAAACCGACCCTTACAACTACAGGCCTATAGCTCTGCTTTCTGTTATAAGTAAAGTGATGGAGAGGTGCATAAATCGCGAGCTTCTGGACTACCTCGAACGTCACAGCTTGATTAGCGACAGGCAGTACGGTTTCCGGCACCAACGATCCACAGGGGACCTCCTAGCTCACGTCACGCAACTGTGGAGTAAACTCATCCAGTCTCATGGTGAGGCTCATGTCGTTGCTCTTGACATCACGAAAGCGTTCGATCAGCTGTGGCACGCTGCCCTCTTAAGCAAACTTCCATCCTACGGCCTCCCAGAAAAGCTTTGCAGATGGGTGGCTGACTTTATCTCTGACCGCAAGATATCCGTCGTAATTGACGGATTCTCCTCTTCATCCCACAACGTCAACGCGGGTGTTCCCCAGGGATCGGTCTTGGCTCCAACACTGTTTCTCTTACATATCAACGACCTCCTTTCCTGCACGTTCAACCCAATCCACAGCTTCGCTGATGACAGCACTCTACATGCAGGAATTCAGAGTGACAAGCCGATCTCTGCCGCTGAGCTGGAAAAAAGAAGACTAGCGACGACTTCTTCTCTGACAAGAGACCTGGAGGCTATCACTGCTTGGGGACGCAGCAATCTTGTACAGTTCAATGCTTCCAAAACACAGTACTGTACTTTGACGAACAAAAAGCGTCCTAGCGCTCATACAGTTTCGATGGACGGTCGAGTTCTACCAAAGAGCCATTCATTTCGGCTGGTCGGAGTCCAGATCACCGAGGACCTGATCTGGCACGAACACATCTCTTCAATAGCTGCAGCTGCTGGGAAAAAGCTAGGCTATTTGTTTAGGGCTAAGAAGTACTTTTCTCCGCATGACCTTCTCACTCTATACAAGGCCCAGATAAGGCCTAGCCTCGAGTATTGCTCACACATTTGGGGTGCTGCCGCCCCGACTACATTGTCCATGCTCGATGCTGTCCAGAGGAGGGCGGTCCGACTGATCGATGACTCTTCTCTAACAGACAGTCTCGGGACTCTTTCGCACCGGCGGGCCGTCGGCGATCTAGCTCTTTTCTATCGCTACACCAACGGGCTTTGCTCCTCAGAGCTCTCTTCCATGATGCCGCCGCGCGATGTGCCTGCCAGACAGACCCGCCAGACTTCGGCGTCCCATCCTAACCGGGTCAAACTTCGTACATCCAGAACTGGTCGATACGACCGCTCCTTTGTCCCGAGGGTGTCTAGATTGTGGAACAATCTACGGGAGGAAGCTTTTCCCAGTTCTACTAACCTTAGGCAGTTCAAAAACCGTATTAACAAAATTTCTTTGGGATCACCATAGCAGCCGCGGTGTTCCGGCATTTAGGCTTCTGCCTGCGCGGCTGTTTCGATATAAAAAAAAAAGCATTGTCCACAAAGCACCCTGGTAATTATGGACGTAACAATAAATAATTAAGAATTCGACGAGGATGACCTTATTCCTGTGGAATGAAATCTAAATAGCCCAACAAACAGTTACAAGAACCAACATTAGAGAGTTTTAGCAGTCACAAATTTGGTTCCGTAAGCGTCATTTGACATTTAAGTCTTAACCTCTTTTTATTGTCAGTATGCATTGCGATGCGCAGGTATTACTCTACATTTTCTCTACCTAGTTCAAGTGAGAGGTAAATTTATCCCTGAGTTAGGCCTTAACTCCGAGATAACTATGACAATGCAAAGACTAACTCGAAGTTAGCGCTAACCCTCACTTAACCCGAACCGGTGCAAACCACCGGTACTGAGGGAATTCTATCTAGTCTATCTGGCAACACTGTCTCTTGTGTGATTCTGATTATCTGCTCTGTGCAAGCTCTGTGTTGTGAGGTCTGTCGTCTGTCGTCTGTCTTGTGTTTTGATCGATTGTTGAACTGTGCTTGGGTGAATGATTTCATAATTATAAATATAAATAGTAGAATTTTGTTTGATAAGCGATGGAACGATATGGAAGCCTTTCAATTCATTCACTACTACACATGTTTGTTTAACGCTTTATACTTTTGCTGAAATAAAAGGTCTAAAATGCAATGTGGTGCACATAGTGTTTGGGCTCTGACCTGGAAATTGTTGTAACATTATGTGAGGCAAAAGGAATCATTTTACTGCTGTATTCCTAGGTATACCTTGAATGAAATAATCCTGGAATCATGTCTTTCAACGCAGACTCGGACTTAGAGGTGAAGGTTAGAAAAAGTAAGGAAAATCTGAAGCTTTGTTGTAATTACTAATAGTATATATACATATCTTGCTGGACAAGCAATAAAGGTCTCCTCCACTGAAATATGTATAGAATATTTTCTACTACCAACTATGATATATTAACACGTTTGGTTTGATTATTGAAATATAGTATAAATATGTCATAATTTCCTTGATGTCCAGCAACAACATTAGATAAAGCTGATTCTAACTTATATTAGCTGTTGTCAATCTGGCAACAACAACAATAACTTCAGACTCGGACTCTATATTTACTTATAGTAAACAGTTATTCACACACTTATACTCAAAAAAGGGCTTAATATCAGTAACAATTCTATGCACAACAAGAATAAGAAGCTGAAAAAAGGTATGTTTTTCATTCCAGCAACAGAAAGGATATCTGAAAACATGCATATAGTAGCAAATGAACCCTCACTTGCATTTTATCGGCTACAAGAACATGTAAGGAAGGCTTTGAATCCAATGGTAGATAGAAGAGTAGATGTAGAGAAGATTCATACTGAACTTCAAGGGAGATGTTATGACATTGAATATGCTGTTGGGTATGTTTATCAAGTAAAAAAATAATTATTTTATCACCTATTTGTACATAAATGACTATCTGTGGAATTCATTTATTATATATTTTTAATTTTGCAGTGCTTTGAAATCTATCAATCAAGCAGAAGACAGTCTGAAGAACATCCAAGATAATTTGAAAAATGCAATATTTTTAAAGCAGCAGCTGAAGTATGAAGAAAATAGGAGGAAGAAATCGGATACTAATTCCGTTTACAAACGTTTATCAGCACATATAACCTTAGATTTGTCTGAATTGACAGATTTGTCCGATGTGGTGAGAGAAACTGCAAATAGAGTGGAACATATGATGTCAAAAGCTACCAACTCTTCAAGTAGTTGAACTGTATTTTTATTTATTAGCATGTATATTATGTAATAAATATATTTTTGTATTCTTGGGCTTTGACTTAAAAGAATAACATCAACAAAAGTACTGTTAAAGAAATTCGTCAAAGATCACATTTTGCCAATAAACACTAGCAGACTGTCATTTAATCTATCTGACAAAATTGATTACCCCTCCAAAGTTGCTTTTTACTAGATTATCTTCAATAGTCTACCAACCAAAATACGTTTAAAAAACTATATGGTTCAGTCTGTGATTATGATGTGAGGATTCTTAGGCATTTGTCTCTCCTGAGAAAGCTTTGCTACCATCTGCTCTTAAGAAGGTTTTTGAGGCACGAAGATGTATGACCCTGGTTTTTTGTAATTCACAAGAAACAAATTTCTGCATATATGCTCTTAAATGAAAAATTTTTTGCTTTTGTCAAGCCTGCCTCTAGATGATCTGAGAAGTGACACTTTAAGCTATATGGCTATTGGTCGTTGGACGCTCAGTAAAATTATTTGAAATCGTTGTGTGTTAAATTTTAAATTCAAACTCGTGAGTGACCTGTTGTAATCATGCTTCAAAAAGTGTTTTAATGCCATCTAGCACGCCTTCTGGCGAACTCTAGCAGTTCTCTATGTAATCGTCGCAGATTCTGCAGCGTAGTTCAATACTTTGATATAAGATGGCAGCAGCAATACTATTCAGAGTTTCAAGTTTCAACTGTTATGCGGCCAAGGCCTGCATCTGCAACGCACTGCAAACCTTGTAATGTAAAATGTCAGTGGCGTACAAAAATCCATGGAATCCCAATAATCTCTTGCATTGCATTAACCCCATGAACTATGAATGTGGGTTATATGTATTATCAACAAATTGCTGGGTTAATAAAATATCACCATTAACAGCTTTCTCTACTTCGCTTAAGCAACAGTAGAGGAACTCTATTCCGTCTTTACCCTATGAGGCACGTGCCCGGTTCAATGGGGCCCCGATATGCCCAAAAATGAAACGAATTTTCAAAAAAGAATGTCTGAGCCCCCCATTTTTCGATCGAAAACTTAGTAAGATGTATGAACAGATATCAAGAGACAAAAAAATAGAGTAAGTGGCGTACATTTTTTTGTCAGTATCATTCCCGAAAATGCTCTAAGATGCTACGGGAATGTATAATTATCGTTTTAGTGTGTCGGAACTGGCTGGCAGGAGTTGAAGTACTAGGAACCGCCGAGGGCGGAATGCTCCAGAACTATTAATAGCAACGACAAAGATGTCGTTATCAAGAGGGTCACCACAGTCGTTTAGTGAGTGCGGTAACTTAACGTCTTTTGAAACTTTGATTCACTGTATCTAGCACACACGTTTATATGAACTTTTCTACTTAAATTTGGTTTAGGATTAACACCTTGTATAATAAATAATAATGAACTAATAACTTTTTAGCGCCTTTTTTCACTTTTGCGTGTGCCACTGATCTGACCATTTACCTGAGTGACCTGAGCCAAGCGGGAGACTGAGAGCTGTGTCCATAATTTCTCAAATAGGGGTTGTAAAGACTTGATTATAGGATGCTTTAGATGGTCGAACCAGTTTCAAACTTGTAGGTATACCTAATTCGGCACGAACGTATTCTATGTATTTATACGTGATTTGAGACAATAAATTCCATCGTTGGCAAATAATCACTATTATTTTTGCTTCGTGAAGTTGAATGAATCTATTATCATCTTTGCAAAGGGTCTTAACCCCCTTCATACCCATACCAGACACAGAGAATGGAGAGTATTCCCACCTTAAGTCAGGTTGATATATAACTTATAAATTTTAACCTAAAAACAGATGAGCGGATCAGGCATTTACAAAATTTATGCTAACCGAAGGATTCACTATTATTGACCGCAATGCCACACTGAGAATCAGGGAACATTCAGATAAGTAATGTCATATAAAATTGTATTCTGCTAACTTTATTTATAAAAATATCTAATAATACGTATAAAATTAGCTACCCTTCTTCAGTATTTAATCTTGGAGAAAGCTTATATAATAATTCATTTTCATCAGATGGACCCTCCCCCAAAATATATACTGGATCCACCCCTCTCGCGGTTGGAAGCGAAAGCGACTGCACTAACATAAAAAAATTGAGGTGGTCTATACCATCCTCGGACCCTATAAATCCCAACCCCGATTTTCAGATTCTCCAATAAATTTTCTGAAAGTGAGCACGAGCCTCTGAAACTTCAACAAAAGAAGTTTTATGTTTTTGAACTGGGATACAGTTCCAACAGACAGCTTGATGTTTCACATTCATAGTGGTCGATTCTGGTAATAGATAGGACTTTGTACTCTTATTTTGACAGATCTTATATCGTGGATAGAAGATAGTTGCTCAGATTTCGTTCGTTGTCCTACTTCTGAGACCAAGCCTAGACCATCGTGATGAGCTGTCAGAAAGGACGAAACAGCTGCCCTTGGTCGGACGGACGAAAGCTATTTTACTGCCTTGCATCTGACCACCCAGTTAAAAAAGTTCCTAAATAAATATATAAAACTTCATTAGATGATGTTTCGTTGTAACGCAATTAAGTATTTAAGTCGAATAAATGTTATCCCGTAAATCCGCCTGAAATTCTAAGGGTTCTCACCGAACGGTTCTTTTGCAATCCGATCCAAAATGAGCTCGCTCTCTCAAGACGTGAATGCCACTATGCCTCGCCGAAGTGATACGAAACCGTACGAGGTCACACGCTTAGACTCTACTCTCGCAAGGTGAAAACTGAAAACAGTTGTTCACCGCTATCGCCGGGGTATCTTTTGTTAAAAATCACCATACGTGCTGAAAAATGTGCTCGGGAATTTTAAAGGTAAACTCACCAACCCCATTCACAACCTGTCATTAGTTACCGAGGATGAAAATATTGTGATATTGGCGCTGTCATCGGAAAGTACCTGCCCGGCAGCAGATATAGGTACCGTTAAAATATTGTGGCCTCTAAGTTTGTGCGGCTGGTGTACTACTTTATTTTGTTACAAAGTTACGGTCCTACACGCGTATCTGTGCCATAGGTCGTGGTTGCCCTCCGCCATATGATAACTTCGGGTGTCATCTGGCAAAAATTGTTTTCAGTTCCACATTGTGTAGTGCGGCAAATTCTTTAGTAGAAATTTGAAATGCTGCCCAGGGATATACATTCATCACTCATTGGTAAATTAAGATGATTCCTATTTGTTAAAGCACATAGTTTTTATTATAAAAGGTGCGCATATGCTATGCAATTGTTTATTTACGAGGAAATGTAACTAGTTCATCTATGCGCTAACAGATTGTAGTTAGCAGATTTAGTCTGGTCGACTGTTTCGCAGTCTCCGATTCTACTCGTTCCCAAATGGTTGTATTACTTTTTAAACACCTATGTATTTTATGTTAAAATACAACTTGTTGTTTTTTCTAGCACGTCGAAATTTATTTTTATTGAAGGCATGCATATATTTTGGAACTTATTAATAATTCTTGTGAAAGTACAAACATATTATTGAATGTACAACTGAATTTTCATCTAACGGTAGTAGTTAAACATAATGCAAAAGAGACACTGCACGTATTGTTGTGAAACTTTGAATTTAAGTTTACTAAAGAGTGTGGTTAAGATTCAGTACTGACGTTCGATCCGCGCGGCCTACTATGTTTCTATATGCAAAACTTAAAAGACATCCCTCGTAATATTAGCAGGGATTATTAGAGATGAATCTGATCCTTACATCTTATATTTCTGCTGTCGGTAGACTTCCCACTTTTGATGGTGTATAGTTGCTATGCTTTCTTTCGTTATCAGAGAGACCAATCCTAGCCAAGAAGTTTATGATTTTTGACCGAATTGTGAGCATTCACAATGGTCAAGGTCAACGTTAACGAAAAGTTGCTAAAGACCGTTTTTGCTCAGATTGATCCAAAAAACCTAAAAAATCTGGAGGAAATATACACATTTTTTTTTGGATTCGATTAAATTTATTCAAATTTACATCGAATTACCACTTGACAAATTGTTACATTCTATAACACCCTGTATAGCATGCTAAACAAGTGTTCAAAAAACAGGTTTATTGACCGGGGAAATGACCGACTCGTATCAAATTATTTTTGACCAAAAACCAAGCATAAAAACACCATAATACATATACAGAATTCATTAAGTCTGTCTAGAATTACAAATTTTTCACTCGTTTGTTGCATTTATAGTAGTGTCAGCACCATGTGAATCTGTACTAATGCGGTAAATTCTTCGGTAGAAATTTGTAAAAAATTTTCTCTCAAGGAAACGAAACACGAAACCACATAGTTTACTATATTGGTAATCGGTAGTGTATCACGATTTGTCCTCTAGCATTAGTTCACAAATATGCTGAGCATTCCAATTTTCTTATTGGAGACGGTTTTAATATAAACAGTATACAAAAATACACTAAGAGGCATAGAAATATGAACACCTACGAATTTATTACAGTTTTTTGTATACGTGTATCTTAAGCGTTAGGTAAGTAATTGATTAAGTTTTCAGAAAAGTCCAACCGTGGAAAAAATGTAAAAAACGACAAATATTCCAAAAACCACCGCCACTGAATTCCAAAAATTACAAATCTTTTTCGTTTTTTCCACAATTAAATAGCTTACAGATGAAATTTGGGCGAAACTATATTCCGGTTGTAAAAATAATTATTCGTTCAGCTTATCAAGAGCTTATCTGTACTGTGAATGAATTTGATTTTCCCATTTTGGCCACTCCTGTCATGGATTAGACTGATTCATCACGTTTCCAAATAGCTATGTCGCCTGACTAATTTTTGATAATGATACGAAATTCACATAAGATATGAACTGCAAACAAACCTACAGGGTGATACGTCTTGGAGTTAATAAATTCGGATTCAGCGTCGAAAAATACATAGGAATACCAGCATCTGGCATCCGAAACTCAACTGTTACCCCTCCTAGGGGTAGTTTCTGGGTTTTTACCCCTTCCATGGATAGTTTTTGAGCCCAGTGATGATCTTGGAGCGTAGTGGCTTTTTCCGGATTTGGCGTCAATAAAAAAATGGGAATGCCATGCTCCAGCATCTGGCACCCGAAACTCAACTTTAACCCCTCGTAGGGGTAGTTTTTCCCTCCACAGGTTTGGGAACTTTTCTGATCCCGGATTCGGATTCATTGTCGAAAAATGCATAGGAATGTGATAGTCTACGTGTATCTCTATCTATTCTGTAGAGCTGTGTTATTTACCTACGGTTTGTTCATTATCATTATGTACCTAGGGGTAGAAATGTTATTCTAATGCGCAATTTTTCGAATTTTACCTTCAATCTGGTACAAATAATTACTAATTTGTTTTATTTTTATTTTACGAAAACTCTAGGAAAAACACCCTTAAAATGCGATCCTGTGTGTGATGTTTCATTTTTGGTCACTACTTGTGAATCACCCTGTATATATCGATTATTAAAATTAATGTATTTCCGTTTATTAAGCGTTACTGTCCAATTAATTTCGTTATTATTGGTAGATAATCAGTTGGATCGCCGGAAAAATTGCTGTACCGGTAATAAAACAATGGGAAAGTAGTTTTTAGTTGATGCTGGCTGCTACCAGTTGTCTTCTGTTGTGTCAGTTGTGAATATGAAAAAGTAAGTGAGCATAGTACTTCATTTCCTAGTTTTCATAAACAACGTCTGTTTATACAACATTCTACTGATCCGGTTGGAACGTACAGTAACATTTAACATCGGCGAAAAAATTGAACCATTTAAATAATTAATTACGATAATTTTGTACGCAAGCTTAAAAGTTATTTGACGTCTATTATTTTTAACATAATGTATTTAAAGAATCAGGTCAGGGTAAATTAACGTTGAATGCCTTTGGTTGAAATTGCATCTACGCACGTTTGAAACTTTAGGGTCCCTCAATTCAAAATTTCAATTTTTGTCTCCATTTGTCAGAGACCCAGCCTCGAGTACTGCTCACATGTCTAACGGACAGTGTCGGCACCCTTTTGCACGGATGTATCTCTCTTCTACCGATATGTTTACAAGCTTTGCTCCTCAGAGTTGTCCTCCATGATGCCACCGCTCGATGTGCCGTCAGACATCCTAATCGATATTGAGATTGCAGAAAAATCGACCTGAGAGGGCTTTTTCTAATTATACTAACTTCAGGCAGTTTATAAAAGAAGCCGCGGTACCCTGATATTCAAGCTTCTGCTTACGAGGCTGCTTGCTATAAAAAATTATATTTGTCACCCATTAACACTTCACTCCTATCGTGCTGAACCCACTTTATAGTGAGAAAATACAAATTTCGTTACAGAAGCATTTCATATTGGTACACAGCTACTGATTAATTTTCCAATTTCCAGTTCATTGTTTCCTATGTGTAAAAATTACCGTATCTGCTAATTAAAAAATATGTAGTGTGCCCATTTCCATCAACCATTATAATAAGAGAGATAATTCTGAAGAAAGCTGCAAACCGCTGGAAGACATACGCTCGAGAGCAATGGTGGTATAGGCAGATATCTACAGTAACTGATTAATCGAACATCGCACCGTCCTCATTATGAATTGATATAGTCTAGTCGATAAGTACATATTTGATTATTTTGTTTCGTGTCGTAATATTATACAAAATAGTATAGAACTATATCAAGAGCTATTATAATCACTTATCAAACATTGTTGGCAAGTAGTTTTACTCCAAGCAGAACTCTAAAGAAATGAGGTGTGCATGGATACGGTTCATACTCTTTTCATACATCTGGTATTGAATCAGAAATCTTGTGGATTCATACTTAGTGGCAAAGAAAATAGAACACCGGGTAAAAAGGATTTTATTTGAATGAAATTCTGTTTATAGTCGGACATGAGCAAGATGAAGTTGTTATTAAATTTTGAAGCGAAAACACTCGCTGTAATAAAGCTTACACACTAGTACGCATTTGTTCTGGTAAACAAATAAAAGTGAAAGCGCTTAAAATGAGTAAAATTCAATAAACTTATCAATTAGAGACATGCTATTTTATTTTTGATCGATTTATTTTAGATGCTATATCTATACTAAGTGACATATAAATCCGAACACCCAGTTTAAATGGTTTTATTTTAATAAAAGTTGGTGAATGTATTTATCTTACTGTAAGTAACTAGTGAAAAATTTTTCAGTTGGACATTCCGGTTTTTATACTGCTTTTTTTTAATTCACTAACGCTCTAAAACTGAATATTTCAGCCGCAGTAAAGAATCAACGTTGGCGGATTTTGGTTCTTGACATCCTTTACGATCGGTTACGATGCCTAGAGTGCGGAGACCTGTACGATTTCGTCAACTTAGTGATTTTGATAGGGGCCGTATAGTGGGACTTCGGGAAGCTGGACTTTCTTTTCGGGCAATTGCGGTTAAAGTGCAAAGAAGTGTAGACACTGCGGTTAGGTGTTGTCAGACATGGCTTCGAGAAGGCCGTACGCAAAGAGCAAGGGGCACTGGACGCCGCCGTAGAACAACAGACCGTGAAGATCGCCGCCTAAGATTTATTGGCCTTAAGGGACCGTTTCTCCACTACCAGGTCCATTGCAAATGAATGGTTTGCAGAACACGGAAGACCTATTGGCATGCGAAGTGTTTACCGACGAATGAGAAGTTTTGGCTTGTTTTCATACCGGCCACACTGGGTCCTCCCTTTAACTCGAGAACACCGACGTAATCGCCTTGAGTGGTGCAGACAACAGTCACTCTGGGATCAGGAATGGGACAGTATTGTCTTTAGTGACTAGTCTCGATTTTGTTTAGGCATGCACGATGGTCGAGCCAGGGTTAGAAGGCGACGTGGTGAAAGGAGGAATCCACAGTTTTTTGTTGAAAGACATGTTCATCACACTGTTGGAGTTATGGTTTGGGGTGCTATAGCTTATGGTTCCAGGTCACCTTTAATCTTCATCAGAGGTAACATGAACGCGCAGCGTTATATCCACGAAGTTCTAGAACCCCATCTTTTACCCTATCTTGACACCCTGGCAGATCCAACTTTCCAACAAGATAATGCCCGACCACATGTTGCAAGAGTCACAATAGACTTCTTTCAACGTAATGATGTCACATTGTTACCATGGCCACCAAGATCTCCCGACTTATCCCCAATTGAGCACGTGTGGGATATGATGG